AGAAATATTTGTTCATCCGGTCAAATAAGAGAATAATCCAATGATCAGCTTGTCAAAAACCCAACTATTTTACACGATGGCTCCAAATATTTAACCCAAGTCGTTGTTGACCTCGTGAATATTTGTGTTTCCGTAACGTTATTGATATCCACATTAGAATCCAAGAAGGAACCGTGCTGCTAACACAGGCCATTAACGCAAAAACGAATTGGCTAAAAACCATTGAAATTTAAATGTTTCAAACAAGGGCAATCACTTTGACAGGATTTGGTAGTCTGCTTGTCATTTTTAAAAATTTAATCTCTTTAACTACTAACGAGATTTGGCAAACGACACGAGCGGTCAATTTAAAATATTCGTTCGAAACATGTAAACTTGGTCAAGACAGGGAATAGGAGAAAATGAATTTCTAATCTTGTCACGATTCTGATTTTGTTATGGTGACCCGTATGATGAGTGCAGATTATCGACTTTCATTGTGGCGGTCAGGTGATATTTACAATTGGGTATCATTGCTGAGAGTATCCAAACTGTTTGGAAGCGAAACAAAACATTTAAAGTCATAAGTTGTTATATGTTTTTCGCGAATGCAAGATTATTCTTTTAGGTTGGATATGCAAATCATCATCTCTATCCGCTTTATATGAAATTTACGGAAAGATTTATTGCACCATTCAATAATATGATATCATCGGCTTTCTATCGACTTCATGAGTGTTTGTTTCATTGGTCATTATGCAATTGTGACTGCAATTTACGGAACACGTAAACGAAAAAAACGTCACGAAATAAAAATATCTATAATAAATCACCCTTCTGCAGAAAAAAAGTATTTCCTAATTTATTTATATAATAAGTTTTCCAGCAAAACGAAACACGGAAAATGGACTTTCATTTTAGATTTTTGAATACTCTCGATCCTTCGATGACAACTTTTTCAACCTCGCAAAGTTGATTAATTCATGTTTTGTAATTTAAATATATACCAATATTTCACGATTTTATTGTTTGAAAGGTTAAATTGGGTTTACTGGAGGAATATCAATTTTATACAATTAATTACCGTATAGCGTAATGTTCCCGTACATCTTAAATTTGAATATTACAAAGTATATTCATAAAAAATTGGATTGCAGATATAGGTTACTTTACAGGTCAGTCATTAGACAGGATATAGTTATGAATCAGAGGGCAGAAGGAATTTACGATACTTTGGGTTCTATCAAGTCGAACCCGCTCCCATAACCTTCATTTCCTTGAGTTCTGCCAAGTTTAAAGTTAAGTTGTGTTGTGGGTGTTTAAACCTGCGTTTGTGATCCTGGGCGAGTTTTGAGTCACTATCTCATTTTTGAAGAAGAAAATAGAGCATGAAGGTATCTAAAATGCAGTGTAATTCAGACTTGCAGTTTTTCATATTGGATTGATTGCCCGGTTAGAATTTTACAATAAAGCTATTGCCAACGTCGTGTGTATCATTGCAGCACCCCCAATATGGAAATACGACACATTTTTCTTTTTATAGATTTTACAAAATCTATGCAAAGGCTAAACGGATGACAGATTTGTCGTATCCATTTTTTGTAGTTTTGATTTGAACTATGATATGATATTATGTTTTCAGTTAAATTTTGTGTTGTAACCTCATAGTAAAATATTACCAAAATATAATTTGTTATGAGCATATTGCTATATTGAGGTCTAAGAACAATACAGTCGGGCTACAATCTCTCTCTGAAATACACTGTAATGATGATTTTAATAATTTAACACGACTATAACTACAATTGGTTTTGGAGTTATTTTCTCTAACAGGAAATTAGACCAAGATTAGTAAATGTAGGTTATATCTATTCAATTAAAACAATTAATTAATAATTGTAAATGACTACGGAGTGTTAGTAAACAAGGCAACCAGTAAATGATGAATTCATTACAAAATGTTATGAGGCTTGAAGTGTTTGCGGCCGAATTATGTTCTATTTGGGCATTTTATAACATAGATGCATAATAATGCTTAAAATATTGTTTATCGCTATTAATATTTACACGGCCTGGTGGGGAATTTTTTTTATTAATCAGAAATATCTTCATGTCCAATATCCGATTCTGGTATTTATGAAAGTTGCACATGTGTTTAAAATAACCCTAGACCGCTTTCCTATCTTTGTCCTTAAGCTGTGAACTTTATATTTTGTTCGTTATTGTATTTGCATGTGTATAACGCATCATAATATCATACGCATCGTATTCAAGGTGTATCACGGCAAATTTTATTCCAATTTGGCCTCATTGTTTTATACAATATTGCCACGCAGACAATATGGATTTCAATCCAATCTCCAAAGATTCTACACTAACCGTAGCAAAGACTATAAATATTCAGATTCGTTTGTGATGTGCTGGCACATGAGCGATCCATGGTTTCGCTAACCTGTTTTATTTGTTTATTGACTACCAATCGCAGCGCCAGAGGCAATCTCTCTTGTTCATGGCATGTAGAGAATAGTGCATATAGAAGATAGACGTTTTCGGTGCAATCTTAGACAGGTAATTAAGGCTAGCATGTGTATTGTTAGAGGAATGTCAAGCACTTCAAATTTGCAATGTGCAATTAAATTAAACTAGCTTCAAGTTTAAAAGCCTGGGATGAATTTTAATGAATTTATGAGGTAACAAGTAACCAGATTCTACCAGGCATATCCTTCCGTTGACACCTGAGACATGGGTTAAAGTCTACTGTAAAGGTTTCTTGTTATCAGATTCTTAAATCAGTGCATACGTGCCAGACATCAGATCAGAAAATGTGTTGTCTTACATGCGTGGGCAAATATATTACGAAATAATTACAGTACATTCAATCTCGTTACAAAACCTTTGCCCCCAACAAAGATTCAACCCTCAATCGAATCTTCAACTTGAACTATGCTATACTATGCTAATACGAAGACGTACACGAAGGACGAATGTCCTCAAAAGCATAAACTAAATCTTAGTTTCTGTATTTTACGTGTTAACAATTATTCGTAATTATAATCAAATATGTAATTGTGTCGTTGTATTCTCACAATATATTACAGAAGATAAATGTCCACATTAGCATCTGCGTTGATAGTAATTATCTATTATTTTGTTTTAAATTGTTGCGAATAAGTATTTTAGTTTTACAAAGTATATAATTTTATTATTATGAGGAATTTCATGACTTGCAATTATGACAACGTCATGGCAGCTATCTACTTAATCTTTTGTCGTTGATGACATACCATTTTTCGCTCAGGTACTTACCATATAAGAAATTATTTTCTATAGTCAGCGGTAAGTGTTCTTTTCATCAATTGGAATTTGTGGATTAGAGGTTTTTCAGATATTATGAGTCTGAAAGTTGGAAGTGAAAAAATATCACATTTTATATCTGAAATTACGGTGACTACGTTATCAATGAGTCGACAGACAACTCCTGCTGTTTTAAAAGAACAACTGGTGTTTTAAACAAAATGAGGTAACATAGGCAGACGTATTATTGTCGAGCATTTCTTCGCTTTCACGCTTTCCTGCTTTTATCGCCAATATTACTTATACATGCTTCGTCGGGCCAGTATATATACATGGTAGTCCAAGACAATTTGTCAAACAGCTGAGTCAGCAATATATTTTTACAAAGAATAACTTTTACAAAGTTTTTTAAAGGCACACGTTATATAGAAATATAATGTATATAGAAATCAAATGGAATCTGGAAAGTATCAACGTAAAACATAAAAGAAATAAAAAAAAATTATTCTCGATCTCATTGACCTTCGAATTTTTTGCTTTTCTAACGACTGTATATTCAAATATATCATTGAGTTTCAGAGCGGGCAGTTATTTAATATGATGATTGCAATAATTTATTTGAAATATTGAATATAAACATTGCCTGTGATACACCAAGACGTCTTCAAATGTTTCATGCTTTCTCTTGTAGCTAAAAGCTTACCTGATAGATGAAATGTCGAAGATGTCTGAAGAATTACCTAATTCAGTAATTGTTGTTCCCGACGCCTTCGGCTTTGTCGTGCCGCTCACTGCGTGCCCCGTCAAAGCGAATATTTATTTTCGTCGCTGGGTGTTGTTGATGTCTCTACAACCTGCTTGATCGATCTCAATTTCACAAACAGAACAAACATTGTCGAATTAGTGTTAACCGTATCTTAAAAGAAGATTACTAGCTTGATGGGATAATGTAATCAAGAACTCTTTTATGTCCTAAAATTAGTGTAGATCAGGCTATATTTCGCTTATTTAAACAACCATACAAAATCGATTATCTTGCCACAGTAAGCATTTATTGTGACGTAGTATATATCGCTTTGTGTTTGTGCAATTACTTGGGTAAGTTTTATGAAGTTTGGGTCGCTAAAACATTATTTAGCATATATCGACGATTCTAGTATGATTTTACCGGAATTTGGTTCATCTATTCCCGCAGTCGGAAAGCGAGAAAGTTTAGAAGTAATTCATGTATGTATGTATGTATGTATGTATGTATGTATGTATGTATGTATGTATGTATGTATGTATGTATGTATGTATGTATGTATGTATGTATGTATGTATGTATGTATGTATGTATGTATGTATGTATGTATGTATGTATGTATGTATGTATGTATGTATGTATGTATGTATGTATGTAAACAAAAAAATATGCCTTTAAGTAGTAATGAGACACTAGAGAGGTTTATTCACTACAGTGTCTCTTAATTTTAGAACTTGGTAAAGACCTGTTTTTCGACTTGTATTTAATTTTGCAAATCAAATTTTAATTTTCCAGATTCGAAAATATATCGAGCGTAAGAGATAATAATATACATAAGCATATGCGTTAATCTATTTTGTTACATTACACGGTGTTACATCTAAGCTAAAACTTTGATTCGTCAGTTACGAAAAAGAAATATTTTTTATTTCTAGAAGGCTGTGGCTAAATTAAAAAATGTACCATTTAAGTTTCTTTACAGCTGGTAGGTTAAATAAGACTGGTATGGATGCATTATACCTACCAATTGTATATAGCTACAAACTTCGATATACTGTGAGCGGTTTATTAGCAGTATTGTTTGCATTGACTTCAATTCAAAACTCATCAGCATTACCTCAAAAACTATCTGAATATTCAAATAAAAACAATGGGAGATGGAAAATAGATAATTGTTTTGTAGAGGATCGGAATTATGACGTAACTTTTGTAATAGACGCTGCAACGAGTCAAGAAAATCTTCGTAACATTCAAAGATTTATCAATGACGTCACACGCCGGTTAAATCTCCCCAAGAGCAGAGGGAAAATCGGTTTTATCACGTGAGTTTTCATTTTTGTTCTGGGCAATTTGATTTTGATTTGAGGACATGATTACCCGGAACTCATTATTTGGATAAGGTGCTAATTTTAATTATAATTGCATGACAATCCTAAACTATTAGTTCACAATTTCAATATTCACGACGCTAATAAGGTTACTAGTGCCATTTACTCTTTCCTCGCCTTAATTGCTCAAAATTGGTATGAAACCGCGCATGACCTATTTGATTCCTTGTCGATTTTATAATTGTACGATTTTATGAAATAGTGTGTACTTACAAGGTGACATTTGTCGTTTGCTACCACAACAGGACTATTTTAATTATTAGTTTATTGGACGTGTTTGGATTGAAATTATACACCAGCCATTTGTACACCTGTGGCGCGCGAGACACCTGGTAGAATACACTAATCACAAAGTGTTTTACAAATTGTTATTGCATGTGAAAAGATTACACTAGATCGATACAAAATCATCTGGCTTTGGGTGGTCATAACAATCTCTCAGAAAAATTCGTATTTAGATAACAAATTGTCACCATTGTATAATATTAAAAATGATTTTTAACCTTTTTTTCAAGTAATCTAGTATCCTCAACGGTATAAAACTCATTATGGTATACGTAAATTTATCCCACATTACACTTGATTCCTATACTGTGATTCAGCTTTTTGATTACGTTTTTTATTGTGCGCGTTTTGTAGATTTGTGCAGTTAAGAAACATGAATATTCGCGGTAGCGACTTTTCCAATAACTTATTTTCTATAAATATGATTACACAAATATGAAAAATAGACTGGAATGGTAATTGAATCAAGTAGTATTTACTTGTTATGAAAAACCCACTCAATTAAAACGCGAGCAAATTTCGATGCACCACAATTTTATTGGAAAGCCACGTTGAAGATTAAGAATCAATTGCCGACTTAAATCGGGAATTTGATTATATTTTGCGGTAGCGCGAATTATTTTCTCTTTAAATTTATATTTAGCTCAATCTGTAACATTACTGCGGACTATTTGCGTCAGCAAATTGACTTGATAAATTAATTTATTAAATGTAAAAACAATAAATGAAATTTCATAAAAACATCGCATGTGAACTTAAAAGTCATATTAGAAGAAACCAAAGAGCAAAATTTCATTCCATTTTGTAACAAATTGCGGTGGCAAAATTTGCATTATCTCCGAGATGTCCAGATCGACGTCAGAGATATCCGTTAAAATCAAAATATTATATTATCAGTGGTCGAGATACTCGGAAACATTGATTTTGTCGACCACAACGACCAGTCATTACATTAAAAAATGACAAATATGCGCATTAAGGAGATATTTTTTCATAAATAGCAGAGGGATGGGAAAAGAATTGACATTTGGCTCTTCATGGTAATAAATTTTGGAACATAATTCATTCCTATACTTCATGACTTGTTGTTTAGCTTCTTATCCAAACTCCTCAACAAGTTACTCACACGCACGGTTGATTCTCCGTGCAAATGAGAAACACGTGTTCGCCGCTAGAAGAATATTAATTGATTTAGTTCAGATCAACAAATCGGCTCTGTGTGATATCGTGTGATTATGTGGTTAACAGTACTCACGTGGTAATTTCTATCTTTTGCAAATGCACACGCATAGTTGACTAAAGCGAAGTGTTTTACTAGCTGTGTAACTACGGTATATTGTAAAAAATATGTAGCATAATTATGCAATTGACTCCCTATTCTGATGTAAACAAAGTTGGACAGATCGAACATTGTAATCACCGATATACATATTTTCAATTTGTTTTAATCCTATAAACTATAGGTAAAAATCTAGGAATTTAGGTTGACATTTTACGAAAGTCATTTACAATTGTTGAATTTCTTTTACAGTAATGTGTGAATGTTTCATGCATTCGGTAAAGTGAAATTACACTTAGCACTGATTAGCAGTTATCGTGTAACCTAAAAGTTTCTTTCTAAATAAATAAGGTGTGAGCAAGTCACTGGGCCTCTGTATGAAACACTATTTCCTAGTTTATTCAGATATTGGCTATATCCGGTTGTTGGCGTACTTTATTACACCTGTCTCGAATGTCTAGACAAAATAGTAAAATTATTTCTTGGTAAGCAGACGGTTGGCTTGCAATAAGGTATAATGTAGCTGCTATTTTGATATTTTTCTGGCATTCTGACAATAATGTAACAAAATGTAATTCGATTTATTGACATGTCATAATAATAAGACGAAAGGGATGTCATATTTCCATTTTCTTTGCAAAAAAATTGTACATTTTCCCGTTCCATATGCGCGTTCATTCCATATACGAAAATAAACCAATGCGACACTCGAGGCATGTTTAAAAAGCACATAAGATATTTTGTAGCACAAAACGCCTTCGATAATATGATACCATGTACTCGCATTAATTAAGAAGAATATAAAGAGCAGCGGTGAATCTGATCTTATTTATATCGTACAGGTACGGCGTTAGAGTAAAGACCTTGAGACTCAAAAAGCGATGGAGACATCACGCAGAATTGAGGGATGCAGTGAATGCTTTAAAACCTGTCGCATCTTCCAGAAGAAATGCCGGGAAGGCTTTATTATCGTTATCTCAAACTGTGAACGCAAAGAGTACGAGCAGGTAATTTTGAGTTGAAAAGTTCCTATTCAATACAATTTCATTGTTCATTCATCGAAATGATTATTTTGCGATCCGATACTTCGTTAGCTGAGTCTCGTGCATTTGAATTTTGTGACACTTTGAATTTGATACACCTTACATGGGAAAACTACGGCCCGTGGGCCAAATCCAGTTGGGTAATTCAATCTAGCCCGCCTGATGCTGACACAACCAAACTAAAACCCAATTTCCATGTTATAGCTGAAACATAGCTCAGGGAAATCGTTGAGATTGCGATCAAATTTAGTGTTGGCGCGAGGCTTATTGTTTTCCACTTTTGCTTTTGTAACACTATAAATATGGTTCATAAAATGTAACTTTGACGTTAAATTTACATGGCCCGCCAGTCTAGGCGGGCAAAATGTTTGGCCCCTGGTCCAAAGCCGTGCCCACTTCTGGACTATACACGTATAAGTCAATTTACCGCAAATACTGGCTTAAATTTATGGCACTCACTGAAATATTTCTGCACAAATTAAAATCCAAACTAAATCAAAATTGTTTGTGAATATTATCGTTGATTACAGCAGATGTTACATTATTTTATTAGTTTTGCAAACATGTAGTGAAGTAGACTAGAGTAACTTTAAGATATTCTTCCATTTTAATGAAACTGACAATGTGTCAGATTACTGTCCAAACTTCAAATTGAAAAGGTATTAAGCCATGTTCGAAATTCGGTTTTCTGTCCAGATGATTTTTCTATATATTCTTGCCTTTAGTTTACAACTTTTATTGCCATTGCAAAAAATGAAAATAAATTTCTGTTTAGATTTCACAATTTAAATCGCATTTATCGACTATTACTCGCCGTTTTCATCATTTTGTTTCCAATGCCACCATGTTTAGTTAACATACCGTTGCGGTTCGAGGTATTGGATTTTCTTCATAAAATTTACGCTTTGGTTGAATGAGGTTTTAGAGGACCGTAGGCATATTGTAATCTTAATTCTCAGAACCTGTTATTCTTGTTTTTATTTCAAAAAGTTAATCCATATACAAATTTTGACATTATGGGAAAGATGATTTTGTTTGAACTGTGCACGATCACCTCTGTCACTTTGTTGAAACCTGACTATTGTTTATTGAATCACCTTTCAAATGACTATAATGAATTAAAATACATAAGTAGGCTGATCTAAAGTGAAAAATATTACTCGCGGTATTCTCGTCAGACGTCGGTGTTTCAATATTGAGAGTTATCCCATTTTCGATGCAATCCTTAGCTATGAGAAACAATGAAATGAAAATAGAGCAACACAATATTTTTCAGCAGAATTCTACCAGTAAGAGCAATTGGTCATCTTATAGTGGCATTGTTTTCAATATTCTAAAACCTCAAATGATACCCGTCGCGCTGTATCTTGTTTCTATATTGTTTTGTGGTGAGAATCTTCACAGCTATGGTATTATCTACCTATATTGCTAAACTAAAGGTAATCATATCCGATACGCGGAACCTAACCTACCATTTTTGCTTCAAGTTTTATATTCCCAAAGATAACCAAACACGAGCTCCAACTAAAACAAATCTAAATAGTAATCTATATACGCGTGTGATTTTATTTATTAATATAGTTCAAGTGTAGAAGCCTCTCATCACTGACTTCTATAAACAGAATATATGGCTGCAGTAGCGAATAAATTTATTAGGAAAAATACTCATTGCACCCAATTCAGATAAAAGGAACAGTTATTTTTAGTTGATATTTTCAATAAAACTCGTTTTAACAATCCACATGCACTAATTAATTGCATAGTACACATGCTTCTATCTGGCCTCTTTAGTTCTCGCCATACAGCAAATGGCCTTCCCTCCAAATTCGCAATTCAGAATCATTCATATCTAATACTTATTTGAGGGTGTTCTGATAACAAAGTTTCTTTAACTCATTGTTGTTGTTGTTTTACACTGTCCGGGGTAAAATGCAATTTTTGGAAGTTATGACTTTTGACGAAACAAAACTTTTGTTGTACTCTTTGCCATTAACATTTTTGTAATTAGGAAGCCTTTGGGGATCCAAAGCAAAAATGATTTGCACTATCACAGACATACAAATCTAGTTGCCCTTAATGTGTTTATTGGTTTGAAAAGTTGAAAATAAAATGTATGCTCTTACATTATAGAAGTAGGGATGGTCCCAAACTTCAATTTCATTTTGAAAAAATTGTTCAACTTGATTACAAATTCAAAGATATTGATCTGTTGATGTCGGTCCAAAATAAGTATCACTTTTAACTATAACATTTTCGAATGAAAATAAAAAATTCCGAACAAACTGTATTACTTACTAACAAAGTTTCTTTGATTAAAAGGTAAATTTGTTTTTAGAAGTTTTATTATACTATTGATTGGTGGACAATCGATGGATCCAGTTGTTCGTCCAGGAAGAATATTGCAAAGGAAGCATGCAAGGATAATAGCTATCGGATATAACAGAGCCAATGCCACACAACTCAGGCCAGCAGTTTCGAGACCTGTCAAAGTATGAGCAATGCACAATCTTTTATACATTAATATTAATTAATCGGTACTCCCGTAGTATGTGCAACAAGATGGCGGACACCGGAACGTAGTATATGTATCAGGTTAAGGTTAGACCACAATTTTAGGTACAAATATTACGGGAGTCGCTTAGCTAGTCCCCGAGCTCGTAATAGAACTAAAACAAGGAAAATTGAAATAAAATTATGGCCTGACCTTAACTTGTTACACATACTATGTTCAGGTGTCCGCCATCTCGTTGCACATACTACGAGAGCATCAATTAATCAATTCATTGTTACTGTACTCCATATACAGCACAGGCGGAAAGCCTCAAAAATTTTAGTTTCCAATTATTTATTTCGCCTATTTATGTTCTGAGTCATTTCTTGTTAAACTATATGAACTCATAAAATTGCCGATTTGATGAAATATTTTTCAACTTTTTTTAGAAGAACTGTAGCTTATGAATACAGTTTAAGATTGTTATCTATTGACCATAGGCGCCACGTGACAGTCTAAATTGCATTGCTCAAATTAGGAATGACATATTGCCGGGTTTTGTTTGTTTACCGTATTTTTTTGCTAAGTCAATACCATCTGGAAACCCGTTAAACAAGGTAAATAGCTAAGTAAACAAATCAGCACCAGCTATTTAATTTTTCGGAATTCACTTGATACAATGTTTTCTACTATGTATGTTTCAAACCTATGATACATTTTATTTAATGTCGAATATTTCCTATAGTGAAATGAACATTATCTTTCTCCTTCTAATCTCTTTCTTTAACAAAATTATTTTCAGGATAACTTGATTATGCTCGATTGGGGCGATGATCTCATCATGGCCACCGATACCATCCTTTCAATAATTTGCGAGGAAGTCTTGAACAGGAGAAATCCAATGCAGTCAAAGTTTCCTTTAAAAAAACAAGCCGTTAAAGGTGCTTTAAATTATTTATTTTTAAACTTCAATCTTAGACAATATTTTCAAATTTAATAAACTGCAGGTGACTTCTGTGTATAAAATTTTACCAAATTATATTTTTTAAAAAGATTCATAAATAAATTAAAGGGTAAACTTTGAATATGACCGACGCAAATTGGATGAGTTTAAATTTAGAAGTCATTAAAACGAAATTAAATAGGCCATCAGTGTTTTTTCAAGTTATATATATTTGGTGTTTTATAAAATTTAAACCAAAGTCTGTTTTTACCCATTTTCTTGTGATTAAACTCAATCACAATCAAATACTGCAAGACAAGTTACCACTGCTTAATTCGACGCCGGGAAATGGATGCATACCCATGAATAAAAAACTAAAACACAAATATATGGACACGAAGGCCAAAAGGAAATTTTAGTATCATACATTTCAGTACCATCAGTCCTCCATCAAATTAAAGATGTCTAAGCAAATGTTTGCAAATACAAAATAATATATGCATTCATTGAATGGATAGTTTCAGATAGTGTGCCTAAACGTAATCACAAAACGTCGCGTATTTCCATAAAATCGGACAAATGCTCCATAAAAAAAGTTGATTTATATAACCGTCACTCTGCCAAATGCATCTTTCCCCACTTGACAATACCTCACATAATAATCATGGCAATTCATTGTAATCAAAAAACAATACTGTTAAGTATCGCCAGACTAATTTCCACCACTCAAGTGTCTAAATTCTAGGATCGTCACTACACATGTTTTGGCAATCTTTGTGGTCCGTTCTATTCAACTATCAAATTCTTTAAAACAAAGGGTTTTGTTGCTCTCAGTCGCCTAAGACCACCCATTTCCGGCCTTGGCTGATAGATAGGATATGGAAGCTGCAATTAATAGTTCACGCGTCGTCGACGATAACTCAGCAGCATCAACGATTGGCATGTCTCGAAATTGTTGCGAAACTAATAATTCGTCCTTGTCGTGGACGAGATTACTATGCGACACATCTGCGCGTCACCTCATGGTGTAAATAAGAGTCGTTTCCTCAATTTTTGTTGACATCATGCATAATTTTTTTTTTTCTGAAATGTGCAAAATATACGTTTCTAAAGCGTATAAGCTGTAACATGTGAATCTATCGCTTTTAGGAAAATCTACCAATTTACTCGGACCTAGCTCAGTGATTTCCTCGCCAGAATCAATTCAATTAAAATGGAATGGAAATTCCAGTCCGTTATTACTGAAGTACAGGATTGCGTGGGCACCAAGAGACGGATCTTTAGATGTAACAGTTAAAGGGAATTTTTCAATTGCTACACTGACCGGGTTGAACCCAGCTACGATATATAAGATTAAAGTATCACCTCTTGCAAAAAGAACTTATGGAAGACCTTTAACAATTATAGCTGCGACAGGTTAGTGGGAGCCATTGAGGTTTTTACCTGACTTTTATGGCTTTTATCAAACTTCAGAACGGAGCTGACAAAATAGATCATCATATTCTATGGGAATTTTTCTCTTCGGATTTGTCCACCTCCCAATAAATTTCTAACGCATTTTATTTTTTCCAGTTCCATTGCCTGTTGCCAACCTCACAGCGAAAATAGAATACGTCGAACCCTGTACGTTACAAAAACAGCTTCAGGTTAGAGTTAGTTTCTTGATCAGTCAAACATATTGGGGTAGTTTAATCGGTGCCATCCTTGAATGTTTTTTCAGGCGGCGCTGTGTATTATTTAAAATAATGTTTTAACTATGACTATAAAAATCAATACAAATTGCTACTAAGCCCAGCAATTCCGATAATTTAGCAGATGTCGTGCCTGCATCAAATATTTTTCAGATTTGGTACCGGTCATTTAAGTTGTGAAGAACTTGCGAAATTTTTGTTATGATCTCACATGTAACATTGAGACAACAGTAAATATGTGATAAAGCAATAATCGTAAACCACTGCAACCTATGTCGCAGCACTAGGCCCCACACTACCATAAACCCGTCAAGGTGTAAATTATTGAATCTAACTATTATTAATTATAATCATGTACAGGTCATTATGTATATGAATTCATTTTTTGTTACTAAATATTTATTTTCAGTTATTATCTTTATTTCTACCCAGACTGGGCCCGCGCAATGCGCTTCGCGTAGGGCCCTGCGATAGCTGAGGCCGGCCTTGAACCAATCTTTACCTCCAGAGAGTGTATTTAGGATATATATATATATATATATTGGAATATATACATATATGACATACGAATATTATAAATTATTATGTTTTTATTGTATTTTGTTTTTTGGAGTACTTCGGTTTACTATTGATAATTTTTTATTTGTTGCTGTTGGTGTGCTGCACGAGTGCCGGGTTTTTTGTTGTGGCGAGTGACTATTTTTGAAGAGAATGTTTTCATATTCTCTTTCATCATTAGGTGTTGAATGAGAGTCGATTTCATGTCATGCTTGTTCATTTGGGGAGAGAAATAATACGTCGTTTTTTTTAGAGGCTTTTTAAAGTTAAACAGGGAATTGTGTTGAAACCATCAGACTGTGAAAAAAGTAAAGCTGTTCTGTTTGTTGGATGGCAAAAAACTTCAAAATCAAAATTCTATATGGTTAGTCATTGCAAATGCAACATGCACCAAGGTACATGTTGATAACCACTAACATGCTGTTGCAATCGTTTAACATCTAAGTTGCATCAACTACATCGGCCATTGGAAAAATATTAAACATTTTATTTGGATTCACATACAAAGCCAACTTCTTCTCTGAACTGCTTCTAGTGCTTTTCATTAATATTCTTTAAGGCGGATAATATTCCATGCATGTACATGTTTTATAATAACAAACTCTGCTTATCATCTGCATCTCGTATCTTCTCGTTGAATCTTTTTCGTCAGATGTCATCATCCGCGAGGATATTTTCGAAACCTACATCAACGTGAATAATAATGATATTTATTTTTTACTTTCATACAACCAGCAATACGTGGTCCATCACGACATTCATCTTTGAATTTTGTTTTATTTGCTTCTGCTAAAAACATTTACCATTTACAATTTATTATGATAACATGGGATAATATTTATTTAACGGATCTAATTTTTATCAAAATAGATGATAAGAATCTATAAAGATGAGTAGTATTTATCACACTGGATGATATATTCGCTTGACAAAGTATATATTATTATCTTTGGTTTGCGTAACTGCCGCATTTCAAAATGAAACATTGAACTTTACTTACGGTTCCATTACATTTGAACCCACGTACATTTGAACCCATGACAATTGCACCTGTATGGTATTGCACATATGGAATTTTTTTTGTTTCACAAATAGTTAAACACACACTAACCCTAACCCATGGGTTTTAGCACCCGCATATAGATTGAACCCGTGGATATACGCATGGGTTCAAATGTACATGGGTTCAAATGTACGGTCACCTTTTCTTACTATTACTAAACTTACAAATTTTGTCTACTAACATTTTAAACATTCATTTGTATTTATCTGTCTATGTTTGTGTGTATTGTTTGTGCATGATTTATTTGGTGATTTTCACGTTCATTCTTTTCAACCATTTATGCATGATAATATATTCCTTACACATTTGAATTGGTCATTTTTATCTTCAGATGTCGTCTGAGCCTAAAGCGGCAAGACTCGTGCGATTGACGAAAAGGTCCACCAAACAATTCTTAACAAATGTTAAACCGGGAGTCGAGTACAAGCTTTCTGTTATTACCAGAGGACCAAAACTGCATGAAAGTAGCCCGGAGAGTGTTTCAGTTGTGATACGTAAGTATTTCTTTATCCACATTTCTTACACTCTTCACATTTAACAATGCACCCAATCTTACTATAATCATTTTTGATGCTTTCATATTGAGCTATATCCAATTTAAACTACCGTAATATGAGTTTATCTCTAACTTGCAGCTCCCATGGATCCTGTCCGATTAGACACAGTTGTTGTTAACTCAACAACTGTAGCAGTTAGATGGCAGATGCCTAAACTTGCGATATACGATAGCTTCCTAATATCAGTAATATCAGCATTTGGGAAAACATCGTACGGGTAATTACCTTTATATTTTTCACAATTTTCAGTTATGTATTTTATCTACGCGATTTAAACTGGTGTTTGAATGCTTTGTGAAATGAGAATTCTTTTGTAAAAGTTTTCATAATACGTGTAATGTGAAGACCCATATATATATATATATCATTAATTATTCATTTAAATACTGCTGAACTCCTCACCTCCGTAGGATGTTTCACGTAACCGCTGGTCGATTATGGCTTCCTCCAAGATCAAGTCCATGCATCTGAAATCGACATGGACTGGTAACCAGGCGAGACGCCATATGATCAAATCGCATAATCGGCTTTCTTCTCCTCCAGTTTAAGTTTGTAAATCCTATCGAGTTAGTGATTGGGTATTGATCAAATTCTATTTTACCACCAGGGTTGGTGTCGAAGCGGTAAAAGCGGCATCCGTAAATCAGGACATCGACCGTCCTTTCTACACATCTTTAATTAGCAATCTTCGACCAGATACTGAGTATAAACTCACTGTGTACGCACAAAGCAAAAATATACCAAGCCGTGGAAACAAGATGAACGAATTTTCAACTAGTAGGTTAATTTCATTTATTGTAAGAGTGAATTTATAGATTTCAAATAGGAGTTACGTAAGTTTAACAATATTTCCTTGCTCAATGCCTTTGTGCAAATGGGTAGATATAACGTATAATGCAAGGGTGCTGTAGCAAGAAAAAAGATGAATATTCTGTTTGATTTGAGTCTTTGCTGCACACTAACACAAATGCATTTCTGTAACGTTTCGTCTGACCGTGGTCAGACTTCTTTAGCATATTTCATTTATTTCAGCAATTGAGATTTATTCATTTTTATTTACCGCAGAGATCTCATCTGATTTGTACAACGAACCATTTCTTATATTATCTGGGGGTGATGGAATTTATGCTGCAACAGCAACAAGGGGGCCAGGCGGTACTGAATCTGTACAGGTTATAATATTTTTATGCTCACATTTAAAAAGATATTATGATAATGCCTAAGCTAGCAATAACATCATTTACTTTTCAGTACATTATATATGCTTTCAAAAATTGTTGTAATCTATATAAAAAAGGTATTTGCGAGTATTGAAATCGATTTCACATTCAAATCTCTTGTTTAATGCACTATTAATCTTTATCAAAGCAACAATTGTTTAATGAACTTATGATGTTTATCACAATAAACCCAGTCGGACCGGAATTTCGACTCCACCTAATTTTAACACCAAACCTCGACTTTTCACTTTATACCTCGAATTTTTGACATCTTCAAAATAATTATTTATGAATCTAACGACCATGACGTTTCCTGTGTTTATTTTGTCAAATTTACGTTGATTACTGATATTAATCTCCAGTTAATGGACTTGACTTTAATGGTAAGAGGTTATTTTTCAGAACAGAAGATATTTGTGTAAATAAGAATTGTGGTTTTAACTAAAAGCACAAACAAACATCAGCTCTAAATTAATGATGACTCAATTGTGTTCAATCTGAATTGTGTTCAACGCCTTAGGTGCAATAATTAAGATTTTTATCGAATCTCAAGGCAAATTGACAAACTTCTCCATATCATTATGTATTACGATAAATAGAACATTTTTTATGGATATTAACACTTGAAGCATCATTTCATCGACTATTTCCTTCGACAATATTAATACTAACTGTAAATATATTTATTATAGAATACAAAGATTCTTATATAAAATTTCGCGTTCCACACGCACTGCATTTATCAATAATCAGTAGTTTATCTTTTCACCATGTTGAAAATACACTTTGTACGAACAATATAATAAAAAGAAAACTAAAAATGGCATTTCATGGCGAAGGGATTGATTTGTATTGATATTTAATTTTAATTGAATGCAAAATTCCATCAAATAATTAAAAACGATATGTCCTATATTGCAGAGACTATTCCCAGTAGTGGGAGGAGTCGTCAATTCGGTATACCACAGCCGCTGGATCCAGAAAGACGAAGATTACTTCTCTGAACAAGGCTCGTCATTCCAGTGGCAGAAATTATTGATATGGATCGAGAGATATACTAGGGATATCAAAGTTACAGATCTAACGAGCCAGTCAAGGACTGTAACGCTTGTTTCAGGTAGAATTTATTTATAGTTGGCAAATGTTCACCACATTGAATTTCTTATGAAATCGTTTTTACCATCGGTTCTAACCAGAGGACCATGGCCCAATACTGGGCCACAGAAACATATTCAGGCGGGCCACAAGTCTTTCAAAAATTGTTAGACTTATTGATAAATTAGTTGAATTTGATTGTATTAGAAATTAATGATATAGCTGTTTTTGCTTCTAAATGGTAATTTTCATTTTAATTATTAGAGTAGAAGTGTGTAACTTGGAAAAAATAATCTTTTGTTTTACTTTTAGTTTTTCCCTTGCATATGAATGCTATCGGGTCGCAGAATTTGTTTGTGCAACGAAAGTTGGCCACGAAAGCAAAAAGGTTGAGAACCACTGGTTCAGACCAAAACGTTTTAGACTCGCATAGTTAACACGGCGACGTTTGTTTATAAATATCTATATTTATCATATGTTTTAAAACCTAAATATGTTTCTTTATCACTGTTGATATCAAAATACCCCGATGTTTAATTTTGGCGTCACAATATTTTAATAATAAAATAGGATTTATTCTGTCCATTTTTAAAAACCAATTATGCAAATGCTTCTCATTTATTTATGTTTCAACACAGCCTTGTTGTGAAACTTGAATTTATTGAAACTTTATTAATCTTCCTATTTTCGTGACCCTGACATTAATTATTTTATCTGTTTCACATCTTAATAACGAAGTCGTGCAATGTTCTTTACCATCGGCCCGTGTTTAAAATAACTTTAAATATGTAATGAATGTGTCGTTATTAATATAGGTCCTATAGGATATGTATTTCGTAAATTTTGGTGTCAATCGAATTGAACAGAAAAATAGAACATTATCATTTTAATCCCTTTATTGTATAGATAAATATGAATAAAGGTCACATATATAACGTTAGTGACTTACGGTTTAAGTAATGCATTATGATTTTATTGTAGAACGGTGCGTTATTTTTGTTCAATATTTAACGCTTACAGTTCTTATTTGATCGTCAAAACATGGACTAGGTTTTTTATTATTGAAGACTTTCTCCTACACGCAACTGAGACATTTTTGCCGTTACCTTTCTGCTGTTTCTTCTATTCAATTGTTTATATCCAAGTCGAATGTCTCTTACTTTTCCAGAAAAATAAATTGCTTATTGTGCGTTATTTTAAGATGAGTGATTAAGTGATCAACTTGATTATCATCCAATTATTGAATATCTGAATCAAACTTAAAGGAAAATTGCTTCGACTTTGTGGTCAGAACTTCAATTCCAAAAGTCGCTAAATTGCATGAAATCAATAATCTCATTTTCACGTTATAATTTCATTATTTCCCTTTCTCCGTTGGATTATTTGTTATTGAACTTTTTAATTTGATACCTAGCCAAGTCAAGTTTATTTTTTCCAACCAGGAAAAATCAGTCATTGGTATACACTTATAATATGGAATAAAATAATTTAGTGGTCAATGGTATTTGTATTGGTAAATTTTAATTGCCTAATAATTTTTCTTATTAATTATAATAATATAGGTTTGCTTCAACCCGTTGGTTTGATAATTGATCCCTACGGAGAAACCATATATTGGTCAGACGTTGGAAGCCAATCAATAGGAGTTGCATCGATCTCGAATGAACCAGGATCAAGACCTTATCAAGTGAACAGGAATTTGATAAGTGGAGATATGCAAGCGCCCGTCTCACTTGCTATTGACGTTGTGGACAGGTAAAATTTAAAGTCAGAACCTCATTGAACAACTGTTTATTCCCTCTCGCACAACATGAAAGGATGATAGGACATGATAGGATTCATCATTTATTCCCGGTGTGCATCTACAGCCGTCTGTATGACTCGTGGGCTCTCTTTTGATTACCAAACCGAATCTAGCTCGAGAATAGCAATTTAAATTCGATATAGAAGGGCTCAAGAGTTTTGGCAAGTGTAACATATTTTCGGATTTTTTTTAAAGATGATTTGTTATATATATTGTTTGTTAGTCCATGGCAGCAAAACCTCAAAGTAAAAATAGATTCATTAGGTTAATTACGCACAATGCAACGTGAATTGTATTTGCCAAAATATTACGATGTTTATTAACTAAAATTCGCTTCTACCTAGTTAATGTTCGTTTAAAAATAAATGTGACAAATATACGTCAAGAATAATCCTTGTATACTCGTCACTAAAGATGTTTGACATGGCCATAGGCCGTTGTCATGTACAAACATTTCTGTGGTCAGATACAAGTTAGATAATGTCAAGAACTGTGTGATGCAAAGTTATGTCACACTAGTATTTAAATTTATTGGATAATTTGTCAGAATCGAAATGACGTCAAAATTCGAAATTAGTAAATATATAAACTGAGTCACCAGCATTGTTGAATTTTCATTGCAATCTAAATATGTCTCTTCACTAAGTATATGTCAAACTGTCTAAACTGATCAATTGATGTTTTCGGTATACCACACCATGCACAATTACAATTTTAGATATCTTTTCTGGGGAGATTTGCAAGGCCAAATAGAAAGAAGCGACATGGCTGGATTGCACAGAACTGTGTTACTGAAGAGGCAAAATTTATTGCCTTACAGTATGACTTTTTGCTCCGAGAGTAAAATGTTATATTGGATTGATGCCAGCACTGGAAACTTGGAAGTAATGTCGTAAGTATACACATTGTTTTATTTTCATACAGTATTTCTATGGAGCGTTTTATACTAACATGAAATGTCTTCTGATTGAAATAAAATGGATACGGCTCGGCGGTATGGCACATCGTTCTAATCGTACACTTGCCATCGCAAGTTCGAATCTCGTGGTTATTATATGAGGAGGGTTGCTGGACCCCGCCACCGTAGGGCAGTTCACGTAACCACTAATCGGTTACGGCTGCCTCCGCCATCAAGTCCATGAAATTGAAACAAATAAATGGTCAACTATTCCCATACCCGACATTAACTGGTAACCGAACGAGGGGCCATGGCTTGTCATATGATTAGGCCTTCTTATCGGCTTAAATGAGAATATCCTATCCTATGTAGGTCCAACTATGGTATGTCATTTCCCTACATTATTTACCAGTATATGCGTGATTCTAAGTGAGGAAATATTATAGCTCAAATAAAATATTTTACATGTTCACAGATCGACTGGGGAAAACTACAAAATCATTGACAGTTCTGCAATGAATTCGATGCTAACTTCATCAACTTTGGTTATCGCCGATAGAAGTTTCTACTGGTTTGAAAACGAAATAAATTCCATCATGACTCTAAAGAAGTATAATGAATCTGAGGAGTACGATTCAGTTTCTTCACTATACAGTGATATCAAAGTACCTTCTGTAACAGCTATGAACAGTTTTGATCCCGCTTCACTTGAACAAGGTTTGCTAACTTATATAGCTATATTCAAACAAAAGCATTTCTATTTCAGCGATATTTATGTCAGATTTACAATATCAGATTATAGTGTAAATTGAACATAAATACTTGACAGAACTAATCTACTTGTAGACTACAAGGAATTTTATTTGTGCATATTTTAAAATTCTTTTGTATTATATTTTTGTCTGAGAAATCAAAAATATTGTCATTATACTATGATATAAGTAACTGAACATAAATAAGTAATAGATATTCTATATCTATGTATTTTTGAAAGTTGGTGAAAATAAATAATGATGCAGAAATTTAACGGAAAACTCTTAACATGACATTGGTCCCAGTGAAATATCTTGGGAATAACAATATATATAGTATGCACTTACTATTATTTTATTGATGATATCCTTTCTAGTTTACAGAATTTTTTTTTAATCGGAATCTATATTATGGCACATCTTTGTTGTTAATCGATCACTTTACACACATTTATCTGTTCCATTATGCCAACCATTTGAAAGATTAATTTCACATATTTTTAGGCTTTGGAAACGGTTATACATCAATGGAATGGCTAGTTTGTAAGTTGTATAAAAAGCATTGGCAGCTTGCCTGCATAATTTGATCACACCAAATTATTATATGAAATGCTTTCAACACTTTCTGATTTAAATAATTCATCTCATTTCCAATTCGCTTGGTGAGTGTATCAGCATGGCAAAATGGCATGGCTTTTTATATAACTTATATTATTTCAGCCATGGGTAACAATACTTAGTCTGAAATGTCATTGCTCACTTGCATGGCCAAGCGTCAGTTACATGACAGAAACTATAAGACATGAAAGATTACTTGAAAAATGAAACCAAATTCTTGCTTATGCGCGGAAATCATTTTTCATACAATTTTTGTCATTGCTTTCATTGTGAGCATTTCTTCTTGCAAAATGGCTGATTAATTCATTGCCTAAATATTGTTCCTAGTTTAACCAAAAATAGATATTTCCTCTGCTTACATTTTAATCACCTGTCGTTTCACATAAACATGATTTATCATTCTGCATGCAATGTAACTGCCAATTCATAATTTTAAGCAATGTGTGTGAATATAATCTAAAATTTAATTTAATTACCATATTATAATCTGAGTAAATATCATATAATCCAGTTGTCAGTCGCTTTAATTAAAGTAGGCATAGCTTTTAAGTAAATATTCTGAACATTTAATAATTTTAACTTAACTCTGATTAATTAAACTAAGCAAATCGCATTGAGTTCTAACTTATACCATATTTTTTTTAAATAGAATTATAGATATCATAGAATCTGTTAGTCTGTGTAAGAAAACAATAAGCATAAATTGTTGTTGAATGATAAACAAAATTATTTTGTAATCTGTGTATTTTTCATAATAATCATTTTATTTTAGCTTTGATGAAAGAATCTACAAATCTCTCTTTTCCGTGCTACATGTCAGAAACCTTCTGCATTGGCGTTTGTATTCCCGTAACCATGGACGAAGCCATTTGCTCAAATGATTGCAAACCTTGGGAAACTATGTGCTACAGAAGGCAAGCTTTCTACTATTTGTTGACAGTTAAAGATCATGATATATTATCTTACTTTAGCATTATGTTCTTTCTGTATTATGGTTTTTAAAACATACCTTTATTTCAGTTTTTCAGCACATTTGGTTTGCTTCATTTACTTTTATTGATGAGAATTGTGTTTGGCAATTATATTTCTTAAATAGATAACTTTCTTTTCTTGCTAGTAAATTGTAAAATATATGAACGAGCTGTTATTTATTTCTATGACAACGTATTTTTATAGCAAAAAGGTCACTTGTATTGACAAACACTTAACTTGTAATGGAATTACTGACTGTGAGTTTGGGGAAGATGAAGACTTGCCAGAATGTGAAATTCAAATTGACAAAGAGTGAGTGAAAATTACTGAATTTTTGTAGTCATACAGAAATGCATTATCCAGAATATTGAAATCACTTAGAGTTCGTAAGCTACAGTACCTAGTTTTTAATTTTGATATGGCATGGTAAAAATAAGGCTGCAAGGCATTAGTAGTAATTGAACAATGTCATTTACCGGTAAATTATTCAACTGTGGAAAATCAGTGTTTGTGTTATTTAACCACTAAATTTAGTTACATGTCATAATGTTGCATTATAGAGGCCACTACTGATTAAAAGCAGCGAGTAAATTCTCTCTCTCTCATAGAGTAATTTGTGGAATAGCATAACTATGTGATATCTGGTTGAATTGAGAAAGTTTTTAAATGATGTTGATTAAAGGATGCCAAAATTTCTGGAAACAAAACATAATTAGTGACAAAAATATTTTTATATTTTTTTCACAAACATTTTGTATTTACAGTGACTGTGAATCAGCAAATATGTCAGCATATGGCTGCCATGATTCTGGAAAATGTGTTTCATATGAAGTTGTTTGTGATGGAAGAATTGATTGCAAAGATGGGTAAGCTATTTAAACAAATTTTATTGTAAAGCAAAAAAGGTCCTTGTTTAATGACCAACAGCTATGCACTTTATAGTTTATACAGTGTAATGTCACATGTATGACTCCTGACTGTTATATATAAGGAGGGAAGTGAACAAGGAAAAAATACCTGCTGTTCAGTTTTTAAATATAGTTCATTATTCCACAGGTCGGATGAGAAAAAATGTCCAATACAGAAACAAATGTGTGACTTCGAAAATGATGATTTTTGTTTATGGACACAGGAAACACAACACGATGATTTTGACTGGGTTTTACATAACAGAAAAACACCATCAAATGACACAGGACCCCTCATGGACCATTCTATGTTAACATTAAATGGTAATTTTATAGAACTCATATTGTGTAATGCAGATGCATTTTTAAATTCTTCCAATTTCCAAAATGTCGCCACTATAAGTTATTAAATCTTTAATTAATCATTTGAAAAATTCGTATTCTATATTTCAGGGAGTTATATTTACTTGGAAGCCACTCCTCAAAATGAAGGTGACAAGGCTCAACTGATATCAGTATATTTTGCAAAGCCAATTTGTATCAGGTACCTTTATTAATTGATATTCAGATATATTTTTCAAATCTTTGTAATTTGTAATAAAATACCATGAGCTGTTCAACTTTTCCTTTGCTCAATTACCACACATTTGTTTTTAGAGCAAAAATATTGAATATATTCATCTTTAATACTATATATGATATTTTTCTTCACTAGATAGTATGTAATGTATGAAAAGAATGTCAATTACTTTTTTAGCCTCTACTATTATATGCATGGACATACATCAGGACAAGTATCTGTATTTTTACGCGAGTATGAAACTGGTAATCGAAAACTAATTTGGAAAAAAATAGGAGAACAGGGTGCAGTATGGAATAATGCTGTTATATCAGTCGATAGCCATCAAATATATCAGGTGAATTATTAGCTTGTGAAACTCTTCCAATTTGGTTCGTTTTCAATACTATTCCAAAAAAGGTGTTTAATAAAAGTCTAACATTATTTTTCAATTTTTTTGGGTTTATGGTACATGATTACTTGATCTAATTTCAGATAGGTGCTACTAATGATGCTTTAGGTGATCGAATGAATTTACATTATAGATTATAATGGAGGGAACCCGAGGTGAAGATTACAGAAGTGATATAGCACTCGATGACATCACAATAAGTGATGGATTGTGTACTGTGACAACAGAATGTGATTTTCATAATTTGGATGACTCAATGTGTGGTTACAAATTGGGTATGTTGCACAAATGCAATCATTGTTTCAAATACTATATTTGTTAATAGCTCATAAATCTGGATATTACTGAATAATTATATGGTTGTTTCATTATAGGTAATCACTGGAAACAAGTATCTGGAGAAGATGTTCAGCCAGATTCTAAACCACAACTATTCAATAGAAAGAAACCTTTGACACAGGTATGTGGATATGTGTGCCAGACACATGTTATGCATATTCAAGTTGTAGTGTCTCAAAATTCTCCCACACTTGTCCTATGCTTCAACGTCTCGCACACTGTTCTGAGTGATGATATGTATACATTGTAGGAGAAATGGGTAAAGTAGACATATGGAGTGGGATCAGTGATTTTCCTGAACACAATCCCCCTCCCCCTAAAATTCCAACCACTCCATAATTTTGAGGTGTGACACCACACTTTAATTGAATATCCAGAACATTTTGATAAGTTAAAAATAGTTTTTTCTTTAATATCAAAATATCTACCAACTCCTTAGCGTAAAAACACGATACCCTCTAAAATGAAATGCTAGAGAATATACTGAGTGGTACTGATCGTATGTTATAGATTAGGATAGATATAAATACTTTGTCTGAAGGGTGAGTTTTTATATGAAGTGAGATTTATACAATTTGGGCAAGAGTGGGACAAGTGGGACACAACATGTTTAAGACATCTTTCGAGTTATACTAATTAACACCTGATTCTTTCTTAGTAATAGAAAAAAGATTCTCAAGCCACAAAACTGTGTTGTCTAACACAAACCTTGAAATTTTACAAAAAGACTAAAGTAATGATGTATTTATAAGAGAAATCTAATAATACTCATGCAATTGTTGGATGTAAATTGTTGAGTATTATTATATTTTTTTATACAAGGCATATTCATGCCTTTCAGTAAGGATGAGATGTTGGGCAAGGGATTTGAATTTGAGATATGTAACATGTGATGCCAATATAGTTAGTAGTCTATTGCTATAAGCACTAAGACAGTTTTGTGGGCCTATTACCTAATTATTTTAAAATATATGGTGAGATTTTATCTCTTTTTCTCTTTGTTCACACAGGATCTTTCAAAAGCTCTTGGTTCTGAATGGTTTTACTTTGATTTCAAATATGATGATTTTCCTGGATGTTCTGAATGCAATGGTGCTCGACTTGTAAGGGATATTTCTAGTCTCGAATATGCTGAAGATGGTATCAAATATGCTGGTGTAGTTTTGTGTGATAAAACCAGGTACATCTTTTATTTGCTATCAAATTGTAATAATAATTATGTATATATCACAAATAATCTCAAAAATATTTAAAAATAAATATTATCTGTTTTAAATGTTTATAACTATTATTTTTAAGTTAAATTGCTTGTTTATATTCATATTATTAATTATGATGCTTTATGGTGAACTCCCAGGTATAAAATATATCTGAGTGAATCTCTCAGTGGACCATTTCGCAACATCGCTGATGGAGCAGGGAAGGGTGAGGATCATTGTGAATTCATTGGAGGATCTGATTATGCAAAGGAGATTGGGGCATACAAAGAATGCGAAGGTTAATAACAATCGAGTAATTTTGTGTATTCGTTGTAATTTTTTGTTCGGCTGTTTTTAATTTTCAATCATTAAATGACTTAAGTATAGTTTGAATGTTTGTATTGCATTCTTAATACAAATATAATCATAATTACATATATTGGTGATATATACAATGAATAGTTTGCATACATATATTATATTGGTATAATGAAAATTATGTTCCAGGTGATGTCGGCTATGTAAGACGAAGATGGGGAGAAAAATTGCAAACAGAAGCCTATGGATTTTACAGATCCATTTATTTTGCTGCGTCATCTTACAAATGTGGATTTGAGTTTCCTGATTTTGTTGTAAAAAATGATCCAAAGAAATGGTTGGAGTCATTGCCTAATAGTTATTTGTACATGGATGCATCAACTATGGTTTCTCAAGAAAATGCTTACTCTGACACCATAGTTATTCCCCTATCTCTTAAAAGCGAAACAACAAAGAGGACTGATGAAACACAGAAAATAGTTGAAGAAGCTGAAAAGGAAGAAACAGAAGAACCATCTGTATTCGTTCTTTCATCTAAGAAGCAGCCAAAATTGAATCAAACAAAGATTGTTTCACGTCATTCCCATCCAACCAGTTGGTGTTTGAAATTCAGGTTAACTTTTTTATTATTCAATTCAATTCGTTTATTACTCCAGACCGCTGCGGTCCATATAAAAATAACACAAACAAATAAACAAGCAAATACAAAAATAACAAAATAAATAAATAAAACACCTGATACGACAATCAGATTCAGGTAGATTTAAAAAAAGAGGTAATACAGTAATCTGAGAGGCCAAAAGTGAAGTATAGAATTCATAGTATAGAATTTCTATATGCATCAGTGTTAGTTTTATCTAATATAGATCTGAATATTTTAACCATTTTGGGTGAAGTTTATGGCCCTTACTTCCATCTTTATTCTCAAAAACAAAGGATGATATATATAACCATTCACCTTTTTCTAGATACTTTATTGTTGGCCCCGATATTGAATCATTCCAAGTATCAATCAATAATGAATACATAATATGGGTGAAAAATGAGGAACAAGGCAAAACATGGAAAAATGCATCTGTAGATTTACCATATCCCAATATAAAGTAAGTCATTGTTGATAAAAACAATAATGTGCTTTATTAATTCACAAAACTACACACTTTAGTTTGGCTGTATTTTTAATTTTTAATTAACCAATATCGGATATATGTAAAATGCGGTTTGTAAATAACGTGATAACAGTTAGTATTATTACATATGTTCAAAATTTTTGAAAATTCAGTTTATACTTTCTGGACAATTTTAATTATTACTTCTATGAAACTTCTTTGGCAGGTATGATCTAATAATTACAGCAAAACGTGGGGATGGGTATAATGGAAGTATTGGTATAGATGACGTAACAATATCCCATGAATCTTGTCACCCGGAAATGAGCTACCGGTGTACATTTGATGTACCAGTCAATGAAGATTGTGCATTTCAGATATTGGGTGGTAAGTACAAAAAAGACTTTTTCTAAAAGGGAATTTGCTCAGGCCGAGGAGTTGAACACACGCACAAAAAGCTGATTTGAAACAAACAGCAGTAACACTGAAAGTTTCTGTTTCAGAATTCAGAAAGCAGAATTTCTGCTTTGTTGAATTCCCTTATCTCTAACAGTGTTGACAGGGTTTTAGATCTGATTTAACTGATATCAATTGAATTGCAAATTAAATTTTGATGACTAAACTCGCATAAGAAAGAGCTGTATATAAACTTGCTCTTTGTACTCGATTTACTGCTGTCATATCAATAATAGCTGTTTAAGAATTTAGTTAGTCACTGTCTGTTCGCTGAATTATTTTACATATTGTAAGCAGATCCATATCCAAAATGTATTATAATAACTCGATTTGAGATAATCTATGATTAAGATAATTCATATACATCATAAAGTCAATTTTTCATGTAAAATGGTGATGGTTTAAAATATTTTCAGACTCATTTGAGCAAGTTTCATTGGATAGTCTCTACAAACGTTTATGGTCAGATCCAAAAATTGTGCAAAGTCACGATTATTCCAGTGGAGTGATTACTGGAAAAGAAGTTGAATTATCCAATGGTACAACTGTTACAAGTGGTCCATACTTACGCAGTCCAGTTCTGCCACGTTTGAGCAATTTTTATCCAGTGTTGTGCCTCACAGTCAATTACAGGTCAGTGTCCTGTTATTTTTTAGTCATTATATTTCATTATATAGTCACATATTTCTGTTGTATTGGAGAGTTATAATAACAATTTGACTTTTACAAATGAATTTATTTTCAGGCAAAGATCTGATGAAGGGTTGATGTCGGTAATAATTCGTAGTACCTCTAGTGGACAATTTCATACATTATCATCTCACCATCTTCCTGCAAAGAAGTCTATTATTCGACCTTGGCTGACATACATAGCACAAATTGATAAAAATGTTCCAATAGTATCTGAAGAAAATTTCTACATTGGTATGTAGAATTTTTGCAGTTCTCTCTCATGTACTTTTCCCACGGTGCTTTACAATATTTAATTTACATTTCAGAATTCCGTGGATTGAATGCAACATGGATAAATGAACTTACCCTGGACACTGTAGAATGTCCCGCTGTTGTTGAGGATCTATGTAGTAATTCAATCAGATGTACTAATGGTGATTGTGTATCTCCTGAATCGTTATGCGATGGAATTAATGACTGTGGTGATTGGTAAGCTTATTGGTTTCAATGTTAATTGCTTACTCTTTTTAATTTATCTGCTGATTTTTTCAAAGTAATACCAATACAAAATTTTAAATAACAAGTACAAGTTGTCTCAATTGAAACTTCACAATTAAGGTTATTTTGATGTTTTCATGTCACAGGTCAGATGAAGTCGGCTGTTCATCAAAGTGCGGAAATATTGCTGATTATTTTGATGTCAAAGCATTCTTTGATGGAACAAATTCCTTGGAAGAAGATACTTGTACACATCGAATTCATGGACAACCAGGAAAACAAACTCTCTTAACCGTTGGGGCTGTACAACCAACATCGATCTCGTCTCACATTGTGGTAAAACTGTTGTTAATCACCCAATTCAAGATAGAAACTTTATTATAGCCCCTATTGTGAACCTTTTACTGTGCAGTCCAACTTTATTCATTAAAGTTATAACGAAATAAATAAGATTAGATCACTGCCACATACAAACAACAAAGAACAAACAAACTTGGAAAACAGATGTCTTTTTATTTCTATCACTGTACAGCAGGGGTGTGCAACTTGCGACCAGCGGGCCAAATGTGTCCCACAAGGAAAAATTGTGTGGCCCGCAGAGAAGTGCCAATTTTGAATTTTGTGCGGCCCGCTAAACAAGTTTGTCATTTAGTTTAATCTAGTATGTGCGAGTAAATCTAATTTCTTTGGGTTACAAAACCTATACCTGAGCCTGTGCAATGTTAAATAAAGGTGAGGCCTGTGGTTTTATCCAATTATTTGTATCTGGCCCCCCTGTATGGTTGCACACGTCTGCTGTACAGAATTGCTGTATTTGTGTTATAATCAATTTAAATCTGTTTATCACTCCTCACAGATGAAAGTATATGAAGGATTCAAGCAGAGACAAAAAGGCGGCTCAGTGTCAAGTTCTGGATATTTTCCTGCTAAATCACTTGTCTTCCAGACAGACAGATTTTCAGAGAAAACAACGTATTTGATTGAAAGCCATGATGTCACTATTGTGATGGAATATTCCAAGTTGGTATCTATTTGCTAGCAACTTAGATTACACCAGGCTTTGTTTATTGAATTGAAGTCATTACAATTTTATTAATTTCAGTTTTTAAATTAAATATACCCTCTTTAAAAATTCTCAAAGACTATGTTGATGATTTTGTCATAGTGCTTCCATGTGATTTACATCAAATTTAAGTGGTATGTTTTTAATAGACGATGCTGATGATTATTATAATATTGAAATATAAAAAAATCTTAATTTTAGTTTGAGTATGTCTCCTGTACCTTTGTCATATGAGATGGTGGAAGACGGACATTGCTCACTTGTATGCCCAGATCATCATTGTTTATTCAACAATAGATATTGTGACGGAATACTTGGATGTTCTGATGGGTCAGACGAAAGAAATTGTACAAGATTGGTCATTGAAGATGGTGTCAAGGTTTGTAATATCTTTACTAAATAATTTCATAGCAACAAAACGGAATAAAAAATGCACCATGCAGTGATGTAGTTGAGAGAGTATTTTGACAATCTTATTACTGTTTAAAATATTGTAAACAGGTACTGGAGGTACGCCATCTAGATGGCCCATTTGCACCAATATGTGCTGATGATATAACAGAACAACTCGCAGATGCCGTATGTAAACAACTGAATGACCTTCATGCTGAACGACCATTGAATAAAACGGGACTACCCGCTTCTTATAACAAAATCAATCCCCATAAGCTTGTCAGTAAATATGAAATCACAGGTAAAATAAAATAAGTGGCTATCAATTTATTTCATTCACCTCTTTCAATTTAAATGATAATTATTAATAATAATAAATGATTAAATTATTACTAATATTTAAAGTGCTTTGCTCTGACCATTTCATGATTCATTACTTTGCCTTTTTATGAGAAATCAGAGGAATATTCCCCTTTTTCATTCATTTACCGTAATTAATGATTGAAATTTTAGATATGCTAAACTTCAAAAATTTCCTGCAGATTGATGGTTGGTATTTCAATGCCCTCCTAAAAGAGAAAACAATCAAAACTACTTTAATGATAAATTCTGTTTGCATTTTTATGAACTCTCAAAGATTTATTTTTTAGAATCTACTTTGATTCAAGCATTGGTTACACGAGTAAAGAATGATAAAATAGTAGGAAATGCAAGTTTTCCAGTCACACCAAAGAAGACAGGTGTTGTATAAATTATTATTTTGATTTCTATATTGAAGTCCTGAATGACCAATTCTTGGCATTTCAATTACCGGTATATTTAAATTAATTTTCTGTGGCTATTTTTCTCTTGTCAAATTAAATAGAAAATTTTGCCTCTATGTTATAAATACTGATTTTTGGTGTCCATTTGCGAATTGTTGGTTTGCATTTCAGTTGATTTGAATATTACTTCATGTTTTGTTTTATTTTACAGTTGGTGCATGCAAATCACGGGAAACCTGGATACCAAACTGTATATCATATCAATGTGGTGTTCGACCAATAGATGTAAATCCATCTGCATCAAAACCAGGTCCGAATCCGATACTCCGAATCATTGGTGGAGGTTCTGTTAGAAAAGCAAAGTGGCCTTGGATGGCATCTTTATTGGTAAGCCACCTTTATGTTGATATAGTTTTAACTGAATAAATTGGCTAATACATCATATTTTTCATGCGTCCTTGTCTTTAAATCTCATATATTAACACTTCCATTAAAGCTGAAAGAACGAGATCATAACTGTGGGGCAACGCTAATTTCTGATAGATTTGTGATAACTGCAGCACATTGCTTTGACGAACATAAACCTCAATCATTCACTGTCTTACTTGGTGCAAATTCAATCAAAAACCATGGAAAGGAAGCATCTAAACATGCGGTCAAAAGAGGAATTATTCACAGGTGCTTAAAGAGTTTACTTTTTTCATATAAATGATGGCCCTTTATCTGATTACCACTCGGGAATCAGTCAGTTCAATGTATTCCATATTGTGGATATGGTTTGTGAAGAGGCCATTACTTGCACTTGATAGTGAGTCCATACTCAAATTAAAGAAGAACTTCATCATTGATCATAAATGAAGTACTTATTTTCAATTGCAAGAGTGAATAGATCATAGAATCTGATATCATAGCCAAATATTTTTCACATCCATTAAATAAATATACTTTTATTTTACTCAGATCATACAACAAACAGGCAGATATACCTGACTGGGATTTGGCTCTGGTTGAACTTGACCCCCCGGCTCATTTCTCAACTTATGTTTCACCTATTTGTCTTCCTCAGGGTGATATGGAGTTTCCACCAGGTACTGCCAACTAGGATTAATAATAATTAGTGCTGAACACCACATAATGAATTCAATTTAAAGTGCATAGAGAAATGCAAGTTATAACAAAATAACAAAAAACGTTGGAATGAGCTCTTCTGAAGCTGATATGATAGTATATTTTGATGACAGTTTTCCTAACAATTCAATTGAGAATTACAGTATTTTAATTAGTAATGTGGCAGTTGCATGTTTTAAAAGTTCATTATTGAATTGGTAAATTTAGCAATGACCAGTCAATTTGTAGCATTGAGTAAATTGTCTTTGGATCAAGGTTGGTTAAAAGGCATATTAAAAGATTTTGTATTTGTCATTCATTCTCTAACAGACTACTACAAATCTACAACAACAAATTCTACAACAAATCGGTGGTACTGTTTGCTTTCGGGGCAGTGATCTGTGTGGGACAGTTATTTCAAGTTTTTATCCTAATATATTACTTTTCACCAGGAACACAGTGTTTTATTGCGGGATTTGGTCATATATCAGAAGGTAGAGGAAGTCAGAATATGTTAAATGATGCCAAAACTCCAATAATATCAAATTCTGAGTGTGATACTGATATGTATAGAGGTTCAATCACAGAAAGAATGTTATGCTCTGGATTTCCAACTAAGGGCGGTGTTGGAATCTGCCATGTAAGTATATTGGTTTTTCACCTATCGAAATGCAAGTCTTCTTGATCTTGGTTTTAATGAGCTTTAAAACACTGTATGATTTTTTGAGTAGTATCTTGCTCCGTTGTAATTTCAGATTTCTGTAGTCATTAATTTTATTTTTGTGCTCATTTCGAACCAATAATAATTTTTTGTACGATATCGTCTCTCTGTCAAAATGATCGCTTATTACCTGGATGCTGTTACATATTAGAATAAATAAAATTATATGCTTAAATGCATGCCACCATGCATTAATACTATGGTATGCTTGAGTTTATTGTTATTTGATTTAGCAGGAATGTGGTAACTGTAGGAGTTTTCAACCATTTTAACCACAGTGCCATTTCTTTATATAATATAAATTTAAATCAGAACAGAACATTTGAGCAATAGTAAATTGTGATTACAGGGTGACAGTGGAGGACCACTCATGTGTCAACATCAGAACAAAGGATCATGGTACCAAGTTGGTGTCATAAGTTGGAGTATAGGATGCGCTAACAAAGGAAAACCTGATGTTTTTACCAAACTTCTGTCTCATGTTGAATGGATTAATGAACAGACTGGATTCAGTGAGTAATTTTGTTTTGAGTTAACGGCCATATGTTGCATGTAGTAACTGTATTGTACAGACCATGAGGTACACCGTCAATAATTTGTTGGGGTTTTGTCCACATGTGTCCTAATGTGCAAGCGGTACTGGTAACGGTTTCTAGTGTAAGCAATAAGGCATAAAGCACTACCTGATTCTTACATTAAACGCAACGGCTTATAAGGAACACGTTTGATTTTTGAGAAAAAAAAATGGTGTGCCCTGTGGTCCATAAAATACAGGATTATTTGCTTGCTGCAACAACAAAATTGTTTCCTGATGGCGAAAAACATATTGATTTTTGACAGATTTGTCATTGCCAAGTCAAAATAGGCCTGTAGTTGGAACATGTGGTGGAACGTATTATGGATCTAATACTGGAACATTTGCCAGCCCAGGATGGCCAAAAAAATACTGGAATGATCAAGAGTGAGTTTTAAAATTAGGTTGTAGTAACATCATAAATCTGAGTTCTGTTTTTGTTCATATTATAACTTTTCTTGATATAAGAACTTCCTAAATAACCCATTGCATGTTTAAATTCTGTATAATACTTGTCTCAACCATACTTATCAACCATACTGTATTTCAACAATTCAATGAAAATTGTGTTATATCACAAAGACATTTTGTATCGATATGAAATTTTGTTGTAAAGATTTAACAAAAATAAGGTTTTTGTGAATTTTAATTGGGTTAAAATTATTCATTTGGTTTTTATCACATTTTAGATGCACTTACACAATCCTAGCTGATCTTGGACAAACTATTCATTTATCATTTGATGAATTTGAAACTGAATTATATTTTGATAATGTTGAAGTGTTCAGTGGAGATATGTCGGTAGCTAGTAGAGTACTCAGTCAACTATCTGGAACAAAGAGGCCTGGTAATTTGTGTTATTACATTTTAGGTTTTTTATAAATTTTTACATTGACATATTTTTTTGGCCAACTTTCTTAAATGGAATTCAAATGTTATGGAAAATATCTTACACATGTATTTACTTATATCTGCTACATTGTGGAATTTATATATTTAGACCCATTAGGAATTCGATCTAGTGCAGTTTATGTTTACTTCAAATCTGATGATGACACAAGTGAAAAAGGCTTTGTAGCGAGTTGGAGAGTTTCTGGAAAACCAACACCATATGAAGGTAAAGCAATTTATTGTAAAGTATGAACTACCATAAACTATTACCATTTTTTCAATATATTTGTATAAATGGTCTAATGTGTGATGTTGTAACATGGTGGTGAAATATATCTGACATATGATCATTTAATAATTTTAACCTTTGTCCTATCACTATATGCATTCGAGAATATTTGTCTTTCTTTTAAGTTTGCCAGGCTCACATGTTAGAAAACAAAAAAAGGTTGTTTTCCAGTTGATAACAATAAATATTATTTCCTTCACATATTGGTTGCGGTATGAAAGTTTAATACTTGATCTTTAATTTATTCAAATTTTCTCAGGTCCAGGACACCCGATTGAGGTTCGTTTAAGATCTGTTTATTCATCCAAAATAGCAACAATGGTCTATAAAAATCTTGGAATATTCTTCTACGGTGGCATTGGTCCTGGTGGATGGCCTTATTACCTTCAGGTATGAGTGCATGAACATGCAGTCTTTAGCATTTTTAAACATTTGGTAAATGTTTAGTATGGCAAATAGGGAATAAAAGTCAGGAATAACCAGTTGAAATTTCCTAAATTTTCAGAAGTGATTTGATTGTTTCATTGTATTGTATTACCTGGATAATTGTGGAAAATTGCAAATACTATGGGTTCTTCATGTTATCATTTGCATTCCTAAATGTCTTGAGACTTATTTAACTGAGGCTCTCTCAATTTACTGCTATATAAAAAGCACCATGAAATGCTGTATTTGACTTTATTAAACTTTTAATTCATTTTTCTACAGTACCCATCAAGAATGGTGAAGCATAGACTTGCCTATATTCCACAAATAGGTCAATGGGTTATAAGACCAGACCGTCCTCTCATGCGTTCTAATGAAAATATTGGACTGAAAACAACTTGTGTCAGCCCTACCCCCGACCAATGTGGAACGAGTTGGAAATTGTGGAATGGAACTAAATGGATTAACATACAACTGGTCTTGGATGTGAAAATTGGTAAGACAATTCTGTAACAGTGACTCGACCAATATATTATAAACTATACACTCTTATAGTAATAGGATATTGTATATTGAACTTCCTTTCCCATTGGTTGCTTTTTATTTCGGATTCGTATGTGGCCATTGTCACAAGGGTAATTGAATGAGATAGCATTGAAGTGGCAAATAATAATCTCTTTGTATGAAATAGCCAGTGTATTTGTATTGCCACAAATATACCGGTACCGTACTTGCTATTTTGTGAAGAGATTATGTTACTCTTATTTATAATTTTACGATTTTACTCAGTGAAAAGGTAACATATATTTTGAGATACTTTGACCTTATGTGTAGGTCTTGTGATTGAAGCGTTTGACCATGTTGACATCGCAGGTCAAAGATCGCTGGTATCATCCCAATTCCCAAGCCCACACCTAGGTTGTATTGAATTAGGTAGATACTGCCGGACAGGAAAGAAATATTCATGTGTTTTTTGTCATACAACAGTGAAATATGTAACGCTTGTTTAACAATAACATTACCATTTCAATTCTTTGATATACATTTATGTGAATAAATTAAAAAAGCATTGCTCAATTACTCTTTTACTATGCTAATGTTTATGCCAGGTATGAAGAACCCTCAACCGACAGTTTCAGTTCCAGTATCAACTGCAACCGATCACCCATCAAATATTCCAGACATTCCAACAACTTCAGGTAACTTTGCTCATGAGTATATATAGGAGTAATATATTGAAATTTGATCAGACAGATCAGTAGATGAATTGTACAAGATATTTATGTTTATCAACACTTGTCAATGGTAAATAAAAAATAAAAATATATAACCCGGTAAAAATACTAACGCAGCAAATATTGCAAAAAGATTGAAGTGAGAATCGATATACTAACCTAATGTACAATAAAAAACTGTCACATCCGATAACTGCCGTTCTAATGTATGATAAGTGAGTGATTCTTTGTTAACTTTTCAAAAGAACCAAACAGAAATCAAGAGGCAGAATTAGAAGGACAGAGTGATGAATCTTGTGGTGGACTACTGACTGATCAAAATGGTACAATATCATCACCTGGTTATGGAGAATACAACTACAGTAACAACCTTAATTGTAAATGGTTTATCAACCCTTCTGGTAGTCGAAATTCAACTAATAAAAAGTCTCAGTGGATATTGTTGGAGTTTGTAGATATGGACACCCAACAATTGTTTGATTACGTCAAAGGATTCCCTGGAAATAATACATCAGCCATTCCATTATTTGGAATGTCAGGAAAGGATGTTCATTTAGAAGGTAACTTATCAATATTAGTTAATAAAGTTAATACTGCATTGAAAAATGTAATTACCGATATATTTAGAATAGGTTTTATAAGGTTCATATAAACAAAACTAATATTCTGTTTTTAATAAATTTCACTTATCCTAATTCATAACATTTGATAAACAGATAAACACTTGCTAGTGAGCGATTTTACTTATTAAATATATAATTCCAAGCCGTATGATAATTTTGATATCTTGTCATGCTTTCAAATGATGTTCCAAAAATGATTATGTTATCAGTGATGCTTGTCTTTGTACTAGGATCATTACCAATTATTTTAACTCTCATAAATTAAATAATGTTTGTGGTGATTTCCAATTTACAGATGACTCAGAAAATGAATTAGAAATTTCACCAATTGATCCCGATTTAGAAACAAGAGATGAAGTTGAGTAAGTTGTAATTTGATTCTGTCTTTATTATGTTTTTTATAATGGGAAATTTTAGTGAACGATTCAACTTGTTTTTAACAAAGGAGCCAGTTTATATAAAATATTAACAGCCTACATGAATTTTTTTTTTTGAGAAGAGAGATAGAATACCAAAAATAAAATGGTTAATAGGTTTTTGCTCGAAAAATAAAAACCTCTATTATCCTTTGATTGTTATCCTAATTGAAGGTTTTGTCAAAAACTTTTATATATTACAAATATATTGCTTCAGACCATACCTTGGCCTATTTGGAAATTTTGGATTTGCATTTGGAACACCAGCTATTGTCAACACCCCTAAACAAACTACAACAACAACTCCTGTACAAACGCGAGGTATCATAAAATTTCTTCATTATTTACAGCGTGCAGAAATACTATCTTTTTCAAATCTTGTTCAATATTCCATTTTTTATATATATTTTAAATGGCATTGTCTATTATAAGTGTTTATATTTGTCTTCATAATCTTATTCTTTTCCATTTCAAACCTGTTTTTTTTTATGATTTTTGAGTCCTCACGACGTTAATTTTGTCCAATTGTGTTCTTAAAATTTTTTATATACTTTTAATAAAACTGTTATTTATAGGTTCGAATGCCTTGACTGCAACAATGAAACCAATCACAACTGTGCTCAAATATGAAGGTATTGTAGTAACCACTGGCCACAGATATTGTGTGATAAATTGATACAATTTCTAGGAGTGTGTGCTTGATAATATAACACTTTTCATCTAAAATAGATTTGACAACCATTGATTGTAATCAATTTATTATTTAAATTTATATCTACAACAAGAAATGATAAGCAATCTGTGTTAGTAGTTTTCAAGCATTGTGGTATTTTTAATTAGTGTGAGGTGTTTTTGTATTTGTACAATTTTCACAGTAATTTATTTTGAATAAATTCTTCATTATAAATTTTTACAGATACCGAGTTTCAAGGTTTGACACTAACTTTTACAACCGATGATGAAATTACAAGTAAAGGATTCTTTTTGAGATATTATGTTATTGATGATATCACAAAATCACCATTAGATAGTGATGATTATGTCACTATTGACATATTTGAAGATAAAGGAACAAAAGGTATTTTACTTATCCATGTATATTATATTAATATATGAGTACAATTGTAAGTGATGTATATGAGGGGTTTTTAACCTTTTTGGTGTAGAGGAATCCCAATAAATATTCTAGAGGACAAGGATAGAGGAACTCTCATGCAAGCTATTATGTGTACATTCGATTATATGATTATAGGCCTACTTGTTATTGTAAAATATGCCTATCAAAATGTATGTTGAAACGACAATTTGAGGCTAAACATCTGAAGGTTTTTCACAGAAAAAAAGTGAAAACACGTTTATGATTATATTATGCCCATGAATCTGAGTATATTTAAACAATACTCCTGGTTGAGACCGACTGGCATAAATTTCATACACGTTGTATGTTAAGTTTTATTTCTTCATTGTTTTGATTTTTACGCTGTGAAAATGATACTACAATGCATTTACTATTTTGTTCTAAATCTATTCAATTTTTTTTTATCAGGAGGCCGTAGAAAAAGATCTGTTGTACCAGGTGAATTTTTTCATTCAATATGTTACGAAAATTCTACAATAAACATAAAATTTATTGTTTGAAATCAATTTTATTGAACTTATTTACTAATTTTAACAGATTTTAGTTATTTCTACACTAGTGTATCAGGCGATTATGAAGGGTCGGGTGAATATTATGAATACGATTACTATGACTACACAGCATTAAAGGATGTGAAGCCTGATGCATCTTGTAACTTCACCTTAACAATGTCTTCTGCTGCAACACAAATTATAAGCTATGAGACGCCAGATAATGGATCGAAAGATCATGTTGTCAGAAATTGCCTTTGGAGATTGAAGATAGATTTTCCTCTCCAGTTAGTAGATTTGGAGATAAATTTAGGAAGTTACAGTGGACCAATTATTTCTTACCTATTCCAAGTTGGAAATGATCATGAACATGATATATTGAGAGTGGATCTTGCACCACAGACAGTGCTGAGTGAGTAATATGGAAAATATTGTTTAATCAAATCTGTGCATATCCAAAATTATATTCTGTTTTAAACAGAAGATAGTGTTTGATTCAAAAATTTATTCGTATCAGTGAATTAAATTTTATCAATAAATCATACAACTGTTAACATTTTCTGAAGTTTCCAAGAATACTCAATTCTATTTTTTATGATTAAAAAACAGTTTTGCACAGAAACATTTGTTAAAATTTCCTAATATTTAACTGAATTTGATTCTAGGTAAGAAAGTAAGCAGTCTTGGAGAAGTTATGGTTCATTTCAAAACTGATGGTAAACAAGTTGGATTTAATATTACTGCAACCTTGAGAAATTTATCAACTCCACCAGGTATATAGTACATCTGAAATTTTTGAAAGTATATTTTGGGGGGTTATGAAACTGATTATTGAATGCTGTCTTTTTTTCAAAGGGCTCAGACAGACTACTGTCATAATGAAATAGGAAAACGATTCATTTCAGTTCCTACTTAGTTCTCACTTATTTCTGGTCAACAATATAGGTTCATATACATATCATTATTATGTCTATAATTACATCAAAAAAAATTATTCTATAAGTTAATAAAACAATTTTTTATTTTCAGGTTTCATCCCAACAACTATTTTTGATCTCGGAAAAATTACTAGCAGGTATTATTCCTAAGAAAACTAAATGGTAAAATTTCACTTATAAGGTACACAAAAAATCCTTAAAAAGTCCATGATATGAAAAAGAGAGTTCAAATACACCATTATTGTCGTAAATAGCAAGCAACTCTTGCTTTTCTCTAATTTTCATATTTTTATTTGCAGAACACCAACTCTGGCAACCACAATCAAAACTTTTGTAGATCATGAACAAGAACAAACTGTGCAAATAACCAGTACCTGTTCCAATGTTACTGGAATTATAGAAGAAAATCAATACTTCATTCATTCACCAAATCATCCTCAGAGTTATTTGGGAAACACTGAATGTACTTGGGTGTTGAAAGCTGCTGTCGGACAACAGGTACTTATAAACAAGATATTTCATCTACCTGAAAAAAGTTTTTTTTGAAATATAGGAACTTAGGATAGGAATCACATATTTATTACGCGGGAAAAAAAGCCGATAAGACAGCTTAATCATGTGACGAACCACAGCCTCTCAGGTTACCAGTTCATGTCGGGTATAGAATTAGTTAGCCAGTTATTTGTTTTCAGATGCATGAACATGACGGTGGATGAATCCGTTACTGGCTAAATAATCTCATACCCGACATGGATTGGTAATTAGATGATAGGCTGTGATAGCCGTCCTATTAGCTCATCGGCTCCTGATTAAATATGTTAATCTCATCATATATATTGAAAAAGAATCTTTATAGAAGGTTAATCAAACTACACATATGTTGAACCACAATTTTTATCTAATTTTTCAGATCAGCATCACTTTTACTAAAATTGGAATTGAAAAAGTTTCTTCAGATTGTAGTTATGATAATGTAACAGTATATAATGGTGAAATTGATGCAGAACCTGTCGGTGTGTTTTGTGGAAAAGATCTGCCAGAACAAATCATATCAACTGGATCTGTAATGGTTATCAAATTTACAACTGACAGATTAATACATGATATTGGTGAGTGTTTGTTTTAGGAACATGTATAAGACCCACAGGAAGATTAGCAGGATTAGGATTAGGATTTTACATATTTATCCCGGGGGAGAGGAAAGGCGATTAGACGGTTTATCCATATGGCGAACCACGGCCTCTCGTCTGGTTACCATTCCAAGTCGGGTATGGGATTAGTTATATTGTTTGTTTTCGGAAGCATGGACTTGGTGATGGAGGAAGCCGTAACTGACCAGCGGTTACGTGTGAACCACCCAACGATGGCGAGGAGTCCAGCAATCCTCTCGCACATAACCATCCCTGCATGGGATTCGAACCTGCGAACCCACGCAGAGTAATTAGAGGTGCGGTGGCAAGCATATTCCTAACGCTTAGCCCGTTGAGCCACACCGCCGCGAAAATACTTTTAGAAAAAGATATTCCTTATAGTAGCAGAGTATGTTGATATGTAGGTTAATATTTCAATAATTTTTGTCTTGTAAGATAAAATTTAATTTTTAAGGTTTTCGAGCAGTTATTTCTGCACTTGAGACTATAAAATATTCTCCAAAGAAACCAATGAGCAACAGTTTGCTGTTTTCTTGCAATTTTGACAATGAAGATATTTGTGGCTTCACTCACGATAAGTCGGAAGATGTTGAATTCACTTGGACTAAACAATTTTCGACGACACCATCTGAAAATACTGGGCCACCCCATGATGCATCAGAGTCAAAAGATGGTGACTATTCAATGTTGATTACTGTATACTCATCTAATAACATTCTGATAACTTATTAAAACATGGACATTTCCAATACACACAAGTATCACATGTCTTAGAAAAAAAATTAACGTAATCATTCTGTGTATTTTAAACAATTTCTAATATGTTTATTTATGTAGGTAACTACATGTTCATAGAAGCATCGATGCCTCGTGTTCCGGGAGATAGAGCTCGTATTGTGAGTCCAGTGATTGAAGCCAAACCATCAGTCCCAATGTGTCTTAACTTTGCATACAGCATGAGAGGATTGTCAGTGGGATCATTAGTTGTTTATATTTCAATTGCAAGTGATGGTGCAATGATGTTGTCAGAACAGAAAATGGATGTTGAAATGCAAATGTGAGATAAGATAGAGTTTTTATTATTATTCTTGTAGTGTTTCCAATGTGAGTGTTAATAAAATATGTCTGAATACAATCGGCATACAAGTTTAGTATTAATTGCTACACTTTATATGTGAGATCACTAAGGTATGGTAGTTTGGCATGTGGTCTGCAGCTGATGATTTGTTAACAATACATTTTAATAACCATAGTGTAAGATTTCTACTTCGCTCATCCAGCATATTATTTTGATGCCAATAGCTCAAAGCAAAGTACATATTTCATAGAAGTTTATTTCATTGGCAATTTTATTTCAAAACTTGATTTAATTAGATTTTGTATTTAGTGAAAACATGTTTGATTTGCGGCCAATTGTTCTTAATTTTGGAGCTGGATTGAACCAAGAAAGAATGGTGCCTACATATCGAAATAGTAGTGGAAAGTAAGTTCATGACTATACATCTATTGCAATTGCAATGTTTGTTTTTTCTCATGTTATCTAACAAAAATGAATTCTCGTTTTCCAGACCAACTTGGCAGCAGTATGTACTCTGGAGTAAGACTAGTGAGCAAGATGATGAACCTTGGCTTAAAGGAGAAGTCACTTTCACTCCCAACAATCATTTTCAGGTACTGATATTGTTGTTACACTTATACTAGACTTGTTGTACAGTGGCCACAGTAAAATCAGTGAGATATTAACAAGATAAATGCGACTTCAAGTAAATAATATAAATAAACAATACCTTACTTTTTGTAAAATACGGAATACCAGACTGAATTCATAGCAACACTAAACTAATTTAATCTGGAAGTCCAAAATTACTTTTAAATAGAATTGTTTTATTGCAACAGTTAGGTTTATATTGGATACTTACAAACAAAATATTTTAAAAACGTTTCTGCTATTCAAGGAATTATTCGGGAAACTCTCTAATTAAGCTTTAATCAAAAGCAATGGAACTAAACTCTGATTCAAGCACTTAGTAAAAGATAAAACAATATGATGTACTTGGTTATACAGTTTTTAAGTTAATGCTCAGTAACATACAATGTAAGTTACAAATCGGATATTTTACAGTATTTCAATGTTATTCATATGTTCATATATTCATTTCAGTTGTTATTTGAAGGCATACGTGGTTCAGAATATCAATCAGATATAGCCATAGACAGTATAGTTGTACGTCAAGGGGAATGCAAGAAAAAACAATGCAGTAAAAATGAACTTCAATGTGTTGGTGACAGTGAGAGCAGAAGAAGTGTTGGTAATTAAATGATTCATTCCTTATTGCATTTATAATACAGATTCCAATAGAAAAATCTAAATAATAAATCTCAATTTTAGTTTCGATTATTGGATTAAAATATTGGAGGCATAAACAAAATATCTTTTGTATACTTTTTGTCTAATTGCAACAATTGTTAGTAGATTTCTTCCTACAATCACTTCTTTCGATTTTAATCTCAAAGATGTAATCTTTTTACCTTCTTGTTTTTAGTCTGTGTATCCAAGGAATTGGAATGTGATGGACACAATGATTGTTTGGATGGATCAGATGAAGCATCTTGTACATCACCTCTAAGAGATCTTTGTGATAGTGAGAACCTACATTTTATTTTCCTTTTAAAATGAATCAAAAGCATAACTTCTTGCTTCTAAAACTAGAACCTTGTATTGTTTGATTTGCTTTTTGATAATCTTACCTACTGTAGCTTGGTGTCACATGTTGTTGTTTGAACTGATAAGAGTAAGATTGAGATTTATGATGCAATTACTGCAATTGTTAGTATGACAAGATGCGAAGTTGAGCTTCTCCATTTCTTATATATACCATAGCTTAATTTTGTCCATTAGATTGATGAAAGAATTACCAATTATTTTCACAATATTTTTTCGACAAATGTTTTAATTCAGTGAATAGAATGCTATTTATCTAAAAATGAAATATTTTTCAGGAATGAGTAAAATTCCACAGAATACAACTCAATTTATGATATGCGACAATGTTGAAAGATGCAGTCCAAAGTCTGTAAATATTGGGCATGTCAAAGATATTGCATGTGATGGTACATATGACTGCTTTGGTGGATATGATGAGTCTCATTGCGATGTCATCAACAAGCAGAAGGTATCCTTGGAAACAGAGACAAAGAAATTTGGTTGTGGAGTTCTCAGTGTCAATCATGAAGATGTAACAGAAAGAAGCAAAATTGTGAGAATATTTTGGTTACCATTTTCTATGTAGGTAATACTTATATATTTTGGAGATGTGTCAGGTATCATTACTATCAGCCAATTTTTCACTATCTGTATATTTTAAACTATGTTTCAATCTAAACTAATTTAGCTATTTTGCCACCAATATTTTGAATAATAGATGGTAAATATGAATAAGAATATCAAACAAATATCACCATGGATTTTCAAGTTGTGTAAAATACAAAATACGGCAACATATTATCACAATTCTGTGCACGCCATTGTGTGAATTGGTTTGATAAGTAAGATAAACATATACATATTTCACCCTAATATATTAGCTGCCCGGGCTATTTTCCCAGAGTTTTCTAATCAAACAAGGCTCCTGTGCACAACAAAACGCCTGTAAAAGCAGCATAATTTAGTTAATGAAAGTCTTACAGCCAATCTTTACATGAGCAGAAAGTTGCAAAGCAATTTATAATTTAATTCAAGTATTGATTTCTCATGTTATGGAATACCTGTTCTGAAATAAATATTGAAATAACAATATATATATATATGTTGAGGAAAATTACATATTATCAGAATATAGATAATGTCAGCAATTATAAATATCTGCACATCCACTTTTCCCACGATATTGGATTGTATGGGTGTTGGCAAAACAAAGATATTAGTACATCTCTAATGTATTTAATTTTGTAATTTAAATTGAATTGCATGAATCTATATAGTGAATATTATGTTTTTTTGTAGCACAATATTCCACCAGAGACAATGCCATGGGTTGCAGGATTATACATTCAAGTACATAAATCTGATATGATACAAGACTCCATCACACTAAATGATCCAGAGAAACGCTTCCTCTTCCTCTGTTCTGCGGTTTTCATCCGAGAATCCTGGCTTCTTGCTCCAGCTCATTGCATTCTGGATCCAGAAATGACAAAACAGGATCTCAAGCATTTTCTCCACAACAGAGAATCTTCAAACACTGATGGGGAAGAAGATGAAGAGGAAGAAGAGGAAGTTGATTATGGTGAGTAAATAAATATTATGTAGAAGGATAGAATTTATTTTTTATCTCAGGGGAGAGGGAAGCTGATTAGATGGCCTAATTATATGCCTTAGCACAGCGTCTCGTCTGGTTACCAGCCCATGCTGGGTATGGGATTTGTTAGCCGGTTATTTGCTTCAAATGCATGGACTTGGAGATGGAGGAAGCCGTAACCAGCAGCTATGTGAAGCACTCTATAGTAGTGGGGAGTCCAGCAATCTTCTCGCACAGGACTCAAACCTGCAAACTCACACAGGGCAATCAGGAGCGATGGCAAGCATATTCCTAACACTTAGCACAATGCGCCCGCCACCTGTCATGACATAGAGATAATTTATGTGTATCCTGTCTTTCACTCTATAATTAGTAAAGTGTACCTGAGTAGTAATTATGAGTATTGTTTGAGTTAATTTAATAATCTAACAAATACCTTTCAACTTTTCTATTCAACAGTTATCATAAATCACAATATTTTTAGAAAAACTTATCACAGAGCCACTAAATCAATTCATGAGATATGATGATCCTTTCTTATCTGAGTTGAATAATCTTGATGAGTTTCAAGACATGTATCCGGGTGAATATTCATTTCTATTTATTTTTTATTGATCAAAACAATGTATGCGACCAAAATATTTATCATATATTTATTTGTTTTAGATGATATATACAATGATGATGTTATTGACCAGACAGAAACAGTTTTTGAATACTATGTTATACTGCCTGCAAAAACAACAGAATCAAAGCCTACAGTACACAGAGTATCAAAACTTGTTCCACATCCTGAATATTCCATGATGAAACTTCAGCAAGATTGCAATTCTACTACTAATTATGAAGTGAAAATGTCAGATGAAAAGTTTACATCAGACACTCCCAATGAAAGCATTAACTGTGACATAAATAGAATACAGAATGATGTCACTCTGATACGAATAGAAGATGTTGTGACATTTTCCACTGATGAAGTCGATGTCAAAGAAACAGAGGAACGAACAACTCAATCAGCATGCTTGAACAGCAAACAATCACAAATAACAGCTACAAATGAAAATATATTTAATAACACGTCAACAGAATTGAATAACATGTTCCAGCCACCATCTGAAAAACTTACATACTCAAAAAGTTTCAAATCAAAAGCAACTTGTTATGCAGTCGGATTCTCTTTCCCTCATAATGATGATGTGAAGTAAGTATTAAAAAATTGAATCACGAGTTTACATCTAAATCAAATTGGTTGTTTGATTTATGATTTTGTAAGATAACATTTTGAAAGTAGAAACGCAATTTCGATTCTGAATATCTCAAAATATAAATTTCATCAGTTGCGCCATTTTATTAAGCTTCAAAGTAATAATCCACATTTTATTTTTGTTTAATAGAAAATCTGAGTTGCAGCTGTCACGAAAATCAGTTCAACTGGCAACTGGTGATGTGTCTGCTGAGAAATTAATTTGCGGGATGCAGAATTTACTCGGGCCAACAGAAGACTGCTTAGATTTAATCAAAATGGGTAAGACATACCTGTTACTCCCTTTGAATACAATCACTCATCTATAAATACTGTAAAATAGCAGAATGAACATTGATGCAAGTTACTGGGTAATAAAGTTAGAGATTGTGTATAAATTTGCCAAGCATTATTTTTATATCAAATTTACATTTTCATCATTTTTAGAACAAAATTTCAGTCCGTTGCTTGTTGGAGGGTATAATGGAGTGAAAGATGCAGCTTTTATGGTAAGTAAGATTTCAAATATTTGAAAGTCTTGATTACATTGTCTATGATGTATGCTACCCACTGACTTCAAAAATGCTATTGGCTAAATTTGAAAAGAGCAATAACTGTGGAATCCAGCATTATTAAACTATATGGTACTCCCGTAGTGTGTGTACCAGTGTCTAACCATTATGGCCAGGGTTAGGCCATAATTTTATCCGATTTTCTTATTTTAGTTCTATTACGAGTTCGGGATGTCTGTGTTAACCAAGTGAATATACCCCTGCCATAGTTTCAATCCCTTTACACAACTTGATGTAGAATAGTCAACAATTATTCACCTCTATTTTGGTACACATACTTCTGGAGCGCCAAATATTCTATATCAGTCAACTCCCTACTTTATTCACAGTATGATCAAGGTCCAGTGTTGATGTGTAAAAGTTGGAATGATCGATGGTATCTCACTGGAATATATAGTTGGAGTAATTTATATAGAAATCTCCAACATGATAGATTATATGAAGTGACAGATGAAGCACAAATATCAGGTTTGTTTAATTTTTGGTCGTTATTCATTATATTTGGTTATTTTCTTCCTAAAACCTCATTTCAATCTATTCCAAGTCTATATTTTCATTATTATTTATATTAACAGTCATTTACTACTAGATAGGTAGTGTGATGATATTGTAATATTTGCAATTTTATTGATTGAAATTACTGATTGTGTGCTGTAACAAAGCTATTTTTAGGTTACAGATTGAATAAACTTCAAATAAGTAATCGTGAATATACAACATTTATGTTTACTTATTATATAACTTCCCCATATATTGATCCAGGTGGAATACTACAGAATAACATGATACTTGGAATTCCGTCCGGAGTAGATTTGTTTTTAGATGTAACTCAAATATCAGATTGGGTTCAAGAAACTCTTCGAGAAGGTATCTATCTGCCTGTTACTTAAGTATAATGAATTAACATACTACTACTTATATACAAAAAAATAAAATAGCAATAAAGAATATGTGATTTATTAAATAACGTGTGGTTATTATTGAATAATGTCATGTGGTTTAATTGTTCTGTTTAATATTGTTAAGAGATATGACAATTTGGTCTGCGTCTCTGGTAATCTTTAACCCAATTGAAAACGAGCCTACCTTTAACAAGGCAACATGGACAAGTTGTACTTTGTCACCTTGTTAAATAGCATTCAATTAAAGTTAGTTATGAAATGGCATTAAGCCACTATTCAAGTTTATATGTCCCGCTTGAATTAAGATTTATTCTTTTATGCAGATTGTCCTGGTGAATTTCCTTGCTACGATGCATCAATGAGTTTACCCAAAAATGCATCCCAAAACAGAAACTATGTGATGGAGTGATTGATTGTCCATTTAACTACCTGGATGAAATTAATTGCGCCTCTGGATGTAGTTATGATGAGACAGCTGATCCAATGGGTCAATATTACAAGAATTTGAATAATGTTGGTGTCCAGCTGCCAGAGAATATTATTATGAAGTACAATCTTAATGGGCTCAATCACTCTATGTCTGGGAAACTTGTAGAAATTGGAGATAAAAACCCAAAAAGTATTATAATTGACCAACAAGATGATATAGGTATTTTGTTCAATGCAACTGACATTGGAGAAAGTCAAAAATCATGGAGAAATGGTTTACAGCCTGGAAATATCAGGGCAAATGTGGTGAACAAGCAAAAACTGAAGATGTGTATTTGGACTATCAAGGCTCCACCCGTGAGTTTTCATTTTGTTTCTCTAGATATATCATCTTGTTAATTTAAAATTTTTGTTCTATCATATAGCTAACGGGGGAAATGATAACATACAGTTAAGATCTGCAATCTTATTTCAACATTCAGGGTAAAGTATCGGTTTTGCATGTTCACGAATTTAATGCAATACCCGGAGGAAACAAAATACAAATTATCAATAGCGGTTTTGAGCAAAGTGAGTTACTGCAACCAAACATGAAAGATGTATACTATACTTCACGACCAGGAGATACCTTAACAATCAGAATGTTGCCACCTAGTGGCCAGCCATACTTGGAAGAAATAAGGTAAAGCAACTACATTAACCCAAAGGCATAACTTTTTTTTCATGGAATCTCTAATGTAAATGGTATTGTAAATCATTCCTATCCTAATTTTCTATCATAAAATTTACATTTTGCTATTTGCCAGTACATTGTTTTATTTATGCAATGTGGGATGATCTTTGGTGCAAGTTCTGAGCAGTTTTAAAGGAACATGTTTACATTTCAACAGAATAGGAAGCCTGAATCGAAAAAAAATAATCAACATTCCAAAGCACAATACTTAATATCTATTAATAAAGTATGCAAATGTTTGCCAACAACATTGTAACAGTTGACTACACCAAACATTTTTTCATTTGGAGAAATTCGATGCTTTCGCAGTAATCAACAATGAACTAAGCAGAGCTTCAACCCAATATCTTGAACTTCATAGTTTGGACAATGCACCGATCATTAATTACAATTAATTTGATGTTTGCATAATTGTCAGTTTCCTCAGTATTAAATCTCTTACCTGCAGATACTTTGAAGCAAGTCACCATGCAGAAGGTGTAGGAATATGTAAAAATCGACACAAATGTGGAGATGGAACCTGTGTGTCACCTCACCATGTATGTGATGGAATTTGGCATTGCAAAGATAAATCAGATGAGATGGATTGCCCATCAGGTAAATCTTTAAATTTTCTTTCCTTTTTTAAATTAAGCCTTTTTTTAGCAAACTGTGGTGTGTTGCAAGTTTTTGATCTTCATATTTCTAGATGGTCATATTCATCTAGATGCCTTCATTGCAAATCTTAGTAAACAACAGTATGGAATGAAAATTTCATTTAGCTTTTGTTGTATGAAAAAAAACATATGTCAACTTGAACAGGCAAAGCTACCCCAGTAAAAATGCATTAATTGTGAGGCATTAATGAAAAATATAAGTTTGAATTTGCAGTATACAGTTGATTTTAGGTATGGAATGGATGGGTTTGAACATGTGAAAGGTTACAAGGAAATACTGCACTCCTTGCCACTGTAGAATTATTTAGGGAGCAGCTTTATTCAAATATTGAACTAACTATTTTTAGTCTGTAATTTTCAAGTTTGGTAATCAATTGACAATTATAACTTGTCACGGACCCTGCATTTCATAGCAACATAGCATATTTAGCAGTATATAATAAAACATTTTTGATGCACTCAGAACCATTTTATTATTTATTTTAATACAAAGTTTCAAAATTCACAGGATGCGGCGGTCCAGCTTTTATTTCGGGCCCATCAAGCGGGATTATCCAAAGTAAAAATTATCCTTTATCACACAACGGCAATGGAGACTGTGAATGGCAATTCGTAGTTTCAAAGCATTCAAGTGAAGTAGATACACCAGAGATGTATTTTGAATTTACTGATTTCAAGACTAATGTTCATGATATCATGTTCCTCTTCAAAGGAGCTGGAGTCAGAAAATCTGGAGAAAGTAAGACAATAATATTTTCATAGTCATTAGAATAGTGCAGGGATGGGCAAACAATGGCCTTTGGGGCGCATTGAAAGAAGTTGTGATAATTCCTTACAACTACATACAAAATTTAGATTTATTTTTAACTTCATTTGCAATATCCAGACTGTGAGGTTTTAAAGTGACAGTCATGTTTTTTTTCATCTCTGGTTCAAGGATGTTATCAACCAATAAATTTGACATTATCATAATGAATTGAAATGTAACTGTGACATCACAGTCAATTTCTCAATGCCCTTGGCAAAAGAGATTTTTTGAATACAGCCCTTGCAGATAAAAAAAACTTGCAGCCCTTGCTCACACCTGCAGTGACATGAGGGCTAAATGTTTACAAAATCTACATTGTATGTTTTATTTTAATAGCTCTAATATTCTAACTTAGACATAACTATTTTCATATTATCAGATTTATTGGGTGTTTATATGGGAGATCGTGGTTCCTTCAACATAACAATTCAGGCGAATAGTGCAACATTATTGGTTCGAAGCAATGATTTTATAAGAAGTCGTCGTTTTAAAATGAAATATACACTTAACAACATGACATAGGTTCAAGACTGGTAAGTTGGCTTTGTTTTAAGACGTATATGAAAATATTGATTTTGAAACTCTAGAACTGACATGGACAATCCACGACCCGCGGGCCAAATCCGGCTTGTTGGATAATTCGATTTTGCCCGTCTGATGCTACCACAACCAAACTAAAACCAAATTTTGAAGTTTTAGCTAAAAAAAACTCAAGGAATTTGTTGAGATTGCGATTAAATTCAGTTTTGGCATGAGGCTTATTGTTTCCCACTTTTGCAATGCTGTAAATATTATTAATCAGTAATATTAATCATAAAATGTAACTTGTGGGCAAAATTTTGGCCCCCGGTCCAAAAACCTCACCAAGCCCTGCTCTAGAACTATATATCCAGCCCAGTTCACTAAGGATCTTACAAATGAAAGAATTATCAATCATGGAAAAATAATATTTTTGCCAACTTGAAGAAATGAAATCCCTTGTTTTGGCATTAAAATTGATTATTTTTTCAGTACTTAGCACACAAGAGATGGATATGCAGAAATTCACTAATAATGAAGCGCTTAATGAAAATGCAGAAAATACTCTGAAGGCCCAAGCTTCTCAGGATTATAGAGTGTGCACAACAAAGAGTACTGCTTCGTCAATGAAACACTTTTTTCATTTTTCTTGTTTGATTCGTTCGTTCCCATCAATCATTTATATATAACATTGTACTTTCCAGATGAGCTAAAAACTTGACATCAAAAATAGTATTGATAGAGCCTCATATATATCATGAGATATTAGTGGCGGCTTGCACGGAGTGAAAAGCGTGAGCGAGTAAGCTATAGAAGTATATTGAACTAAGCCAGCTTATAATCTGTGTTCCTTTTTATGTTTTTTATTCTATAGATTTTTAAAGCCTGTTTTTGCCTTACATGTACCTCTTAAGTGCCACAAAAAACTTCGATGTGTATTATTCTTATTACAGATTCTATAACAAGTTACAATTGTACTTGAATATTTTAGAAATGTATTGATGTTGACCTTATTGAAATATTTTTGATCTCTTAGCACAGTTAAGTATGAGCAAATAATTGATTTGGTCCCTCTTGGTTTTATCGTTAGATCTCACAGTATCATTTTGTTGCACTCGCACTAACTTGTCTTTACATTCTTGTATTTATTTTTTATTTAAACTCATTCACTATTTTTGTCAACATTTGACGATACAAGAAATAAATATACATTTGTTAAATGCCCAACAAGCCTTTTCGGTTTAGAAATCATTGATTAGATATTGTCAGAACAAAACATCCAGTTAATAAGAAAAGCTAAAGTAATTAAACACATTTCCTGCGAACTTTTCAACTGCTTATTAGCTCTAATACAATCAAGAATGATAGATCACAATTATGATACTGGCTGCTCATCATGATTAAACAAGCTTTCTCAATCTTTGTGTTGATGCTAAGTTTGCCCCACATCAGAAATCTAAATTTCATACTAGTTTTTACTATAATATATATTGTACATTACAATTACTGTACATTACTTATAAAACAGCAGTGAGAACAATAAAAATGAGGAATAATACTGTATACACTGGAACAAGACAACATAGTGATAGGAATTTTATTACCACAACCCAAATGCTCAACCTAAAACAACTGTATTATAAAAATTGTTGGCTACAGATTTGTGACATCGAAACAATAAAAACAATGAAGGTACAGAATAGGTAAATTGTATAAATGCAGTGAAAAAATGGAAATGTAGGTAACTTTCACATGGAGACAAAGTAAGAAACATGAGCACAAATATGAAATTCAGTTCAATAAAGTCACTTCCGTTTATATTTATTCTGAAATAACCTTACTTTACTCAGTAAATTAATATAAACTTCTATTGATTATCACAGTTTTTGTAGCACCATTGCTAATGAAGAATTTGGCATTACATGAAAATGCCACAGTGTAATAAGCAATACTAAGAGCAACTGTCGCTGAAAATGTACAGCTACCACATCTTTCCCCCCAGTATTCATAGCATATGGAGTGATTGTACATCTCTATTGGTTTCAATACACAGTCAACGACTTTGAAATGCAGAAAATTAGATCCACATTGCAGGTTATAGTAAATGACAAATTTGATCAAGTTTTAATTTTGAAGAATTGCTTCATATACTGAAGTGAATAATATAAAGACACAAAAACAAAAGAAACTATTGGCTATGTACAATAGTAATTTAGTATTGCCATTGAAGAATTATCCAGTAAAAGGTACAAGCTCTCATGAATTAGCACCAATTGTCAACATTTACAGTGACTCCATTAAAACAAAAGCATATGTGTTGCTTTAATAGTTCTACAAACACCAACTAGAAAAACTTTTTCACTAATTTGTAATAAAACATTCATTGTTCATTTATCTCAGTTACAAATTCTTCTGAATCACAATAAATAATAACTTTTCGGAAGACGTATAATAAATAGTAGCAAATTGATGAATAAATTAAAACTTCGCAATATGAAATCTTCAAATATAGAAGGAATTGTGCAAAAATGTGTGTTGTTGTGCAAAATATCTTGGGTCAAAAATAATTATAGTTTATTCATACAAAAATAATATCGTAAATACAATTCTAATTTATCTTAGCAATATGCTTACAAGAACAATATTAAACCATGGTATTACAAGTTGGTTTTCTACATTCTTTTTCAATTTAGTATTGGGTTTCAATTGATTATGGTACAGTGAAAATGCGACATTTTACACACACGAACATATATATACTTGGGAGGAATGGGAAAGGTGTTGAAAGAGGTATATAATATTCAACTCGGTTTCTACACTAAATAACTTAGCTAATAAATTACAATATTCAATTATAATTTTAGCTATGATTTGGATATTATGATTCAACTATCTAATGATTGTACGAATAACTACTCTTTGTAAGAAAGATCTACAAAAATTATCTAACTTAGCAATGTTAGAAACGCCATTATTGAATGGGTGGTAAAATAGAAATAGGTAAATGAGAGAACATGCATATGGGCAAGAATATTGCTTTGGTACCTTAGTATGTAGAAGTCTAAAATGTGTTAAAATATTTTTTAAAGTTTTATATGTTCTAACTGCTAACATTAAAATTTGGTATTCCCGTAGTATGCGTGCCAGGTTAGGGTTAGGCCATAATTTTATTCCAATTTTCCCTATTATAGTTCTATTACGAGTTCAGGGACTAGCCAAGTGACTACCGTAATATTTGTACCTGGAAATGGCCTAACCCTAACCTTGTAGACATACTACGTTACGGTGTCCGCCATCTTGGTTAACATACTACGGGAGTACCTGAAATTACAGTAAAGGAAAATAGAGACTGGATCCTCAATTATTCTTGTGGGGTTAAACAATTTTGAAATTTGTATCCACTCTTTGGGGTTTATGAGAACCTCTCAGTTGCTACCATTGATAAGCAAGGCATCTTGATTGCCAAACAACTGAGACAACAAATCCGACTTCTTGTTTTGTTTCACATTATTCAAATCGAAAAGGGGTTCGTCAACTTCTGAAGTAGAAGTTATAGGTTTGGAAGGCTTACTTGCAAGCTGCTTTTTCTGCCTTGCTGGGTTGGTGCCGACAGTTGGTGCATACCCTCCGAAGGATATTTCTCTTTCAGGCTTTTTTGAGCTGTTTTCCAAAGACAATGGAACATAATCATTTAAATTTGCCGAAGAATTTTCATTGCTATTTCCAAGTAAAGATTGCACTTTTTTGGCTTTTGATTTTGGACTCAGTTTTGGTGGTTTGTGCGACTTTCCATCAACCTCTTTGCTGAATAATTCAGGGGATGATGATTTTGGTATTTCAGGAAGCAGTGACTTTGTGTTGGCTTTATCTATTTCATGCATTTTCGATAAAAGATTCGCTTTGTGTTTTTGTGCTACATCATATCCATGTATATTAACAGATTCCCTTTTGTCTGTCATTTCTACAACACCGTTAGATGTAGATCTTATATTTTCCAAAGGAGAAAGTTGAATGATGGAATCTTGAATTGACAGATTGGGTTCATCCCTAATAAATGATGGATTGGGTGATGACATAGGTGATTCAAAATCAGCAGTTAGAAATATAGACTGCTTAGGCTCTTGCTTTATTTTCTTTTTCTTGATTGTTCTTGATGAATCAGAGTGCAGCCTACTCATTGCAGGTGACGTGTTAAAATGAGTATTAGACTTCTCCGACGAAGTTACTTCAATATCTCCTTTCCTCTTGGAATCGCCTCCCATATTAGAATTTCTGGCATCCTCTTTTTCAGTTAATGCAAGATCAGTTTGGGTAGAGGAACATATTTCTTTCTGCTTTTCAGCAGGCTCAATAGCTACGGGAACAAGAGCTTTTCCGAGCGAAATTTTACGCAGAGTATAGATATTACTAACATTCAGCGCCCTTTCTTTTTCTTTCAATTTAGAATCAGTTTCAAGGTATTCCTTATGGAGAATTTCAAGTCGTTCTCGACTTTCTTTATGCTTTTGTCTTTCCAGGTTCAGTTGACGAGTGCAATTGTTAATAGTCATATCAAGTTTTTTATCCAACTCTTTTATCTTACGTTCAGCTTTTGCAAAATTATTTTCCGCATCAGAAAGTTGCTTTGAAAGTTCTGATCGCTCCCCTAGGTTTTTATCATAAACCATCCTCTTCAAACGACGCAACACCCCTTCCATTTTTTGCATTTCTTCACTATTTTCATTCAACTTTGCTTCAAGCTCTCTTTTTGTTTCCTGTGTTCGTCTCAGCTTCGACTTAAGAACCCTTTGATCTTCAAAATTTCTGGAAATCAATCGTGGAATATCATTCTCGGATGTTTCAAACTTGCGAATCGCTTTATCCTGCCTATGCTGCAAAGTTTTTAAAAGTTTATTTTCTTTTTCAGCAGTAGATAATCTTTGTCTTGCATGGAAAAGTTCATTTTGAAGATCGTTTATTTCTTGCTGTTTTGCAATCAACATATGGGAAGCAATTGAATCCTTTTTTAACTTATGAACTTTACTTTTTGGGGGACTGCTGGAGTCCCAAACATGCTTTATTGGTTTATTTCTTACATTCCCATAAATGCCATATGTTCGTCTACTTGCTAGCGAAGAACGAAGGTCTATACTTGACCGATCGCTTGTATATAACTTTCTTATCTTTTTAGTGGATGATTTTTTCACTTTACGGTGGTTGCGTGGAGTCTTGGAAATTTCACTCTTAGCTTCAGCTTCAAAATCATCAGAATAGTCACTTGTGTAAGAATCAGAATTCGACTTATAAGACTTCGAACGACTTTGAGATCGTGGAGAGCTGGATCTTGACTTTGACCTGCTTCGATTTGAATGTGTTGATCTCGAGTATGTACGAGTCGCACTCATGATTGCAGTATTACTAAGCAACAAGAATGATCATCATCTGAAACAAATATTAATATAGATTAGAGATTAATATAAAAAATAGGGGTCTTACTACTTACTGAATACAGCGTGAAACGCCGCAAAGAGCCCGAAACAGCGCAAAACAGAAGGAAACCAGCGCAAAACAGGAGACGCAGTTATAACCACCTCCAGCCACGAAAGAACCACGGCGTCTACCGCCATGGTTTTATGGCGTTATTTCCGGTATATTTACAAGGTTATGTAGGCTACCGGATTCTAGGTCATCATGCAAAATTTTATCTACGTTTTTTTATGTAACCCTAACCTTAGAGCCAAATCAATCGAAACTGTATCCCTATGGAAAATGTTCTAAATTACGGTACCCAAAATGTGTCACCAGCAGGGGCAGACCTGCCATTACAGCCTAAATGCCTTGGTTTGTGTTTTTAATTTAATTTGCTGCCGTGGTACCCCAACTCAAAAAAAAAAATGTGCCCCAACTCACTCAAATTTTTATTTGCTTTGCGCTATTTCCCTCTGTTTTGCGCTGTATTCAGTAAGTAGTGAGACCGAGAAAATGGTAATAATATAAAAACAATATTGTCGAAAGAAGAGAAATCTTTAACAAGTACCAGCAAAACTTTTTTACATTAATATTGATACAAGGATAAATTGATAACTGCTAATTCATTTATCAAAATCATAACTTGTAGACTAATTGAGCATAATTGTCCAATAACAGAATAGGAATTTCCTTTTAATCAGATAATACAGTAATATGACTATAAAACCAATCAGAATATATTATGGCACATTATTGACAACGATCTTGTTACTTATCGATTTTAATCGGTAAGTATGTTAGATGCACGCGATATCTCACGAAAGCGAGATTGAATCTGCTCCAGAATTTGCATGTGCATTCATCATATGTCGGACCAGAAGCCTATTGATTTTGGATGAATTACTACCCGTATGTCCTATAATTAGGGAGTTATTAATTAATTAGAGATGGGACACAAGGCTGCAAGGTGTCACTATGGAGTAAGAGCAGTAAGTAATGTTTTATTACTCTAAACTGAAAGTTTTGAATGAAAAATAAAACATGCACAACAAAAATATTTAGGCTAGTGGTAAAAGTCTAGATCTGTAGATCACCAATTACTCACCGCTCCTATCACATAATTAGGTAACTTCTTCACTAAACCCTGAAACTGCCGCCGCTGCAATAATACGAATTCCAACACCACCTTTCAAAGTTGCGTTCGGCTCCACGGCGACCGAGATAACAAAAATCAATGGTTTTTGTTATGACATACGGTAATAGTGTTCCCAATGGATGTTTCCCCTAGCATCGATTTCTTTGTTTATTTCCGTAATAATGGCCAATCAGCAATAGGATAGGATAGGATTTACATATTTATCCCGGGGGAGAGGAAAGCCGATACGACGGCTTATCCATATGGCAAACCACGACCTCTCGTCCGGTTACCATTCCAAGTCGGGTATGAGATTAGTTTTACTGTATTGTTTGTTTTCGGAAGCATGGACTTGGTGGTGGAGGAAGCCGTAACCGACCAGCGGTTACGTGAACCACCCAACGACGGCGAGGAGTCCAGCAATCCTCTCGCACATAACCATCCCTGCATGGGATTCGAACTTGCGAACCCACGCAGAGTAGTTAGAGGTGCGGTGGCGAGCGTATTCCTAACGCTTAGCCCGTTGAGCCACACCGCCGCGCCATAAATTGTGATTAATACAGCCGCACAGACACTTGTTGCTCATTCAAGCATGACTGTAAACACTGCCTCAATTTTGTTGTTTTGCGTGTTATTTGCCAGTTTTCAGTTGTGTTTTCAAAAAGTAGTTGTTAATTAAATAACTTAATTGCCATTCTCAGGGTAGCTTTAGTTAGTTGCAATAATCGAAAATTTACTTGCAACTACTATCATAGACTACTACGCTAAAATTAGTTGTCAGTACCTGCAAGCAGCACGCAGTTGAACATTTTCAATAAAAATAATGATTTTAAACATGTACACCAATTTATAATCGACAACTCTCTAAAATACTCTCACAATATGCACACAAAAAACTTTCGGTGCTCCCGAAGTATGCGAACCAAGATGGCGGACATCGGAACGTAACATGGGTAACAGGTTAGGGTTAGGCGATAATTTTTTTTCCAATTTTCCTTATTTTAGTCTTATTATCAGTTCGAAGACTAGCCAAGAGCCTCCCGTAGTATTTATACCTAAAATTATGGCCTAACCCTAACCTAGTACACATATTACAATCCGATGTCCGCCATCTTGGTTCGCATACTTCGGGAGCCCCAACTTTCAATAGTAACGTATAGGGAGAATTTTTGGGGGTCAAGGGTCGGGGAAACATCCAATCAAAACCCACGTGCAAAAACAGATCGTCGCTATTTTGCTTTAAAACTTTACATTGCCTAGACCAGGATGGTCCAAGATTATCGGCCTCGCCCTCGGGGGTCACACTATTATTTTTGTATTGTTCGCTTGCCACAATAGTGCCAAGAAAGAGGTAACAAGTTCAATACAAAACTAACATTGATCATTATTTTTTATCAATCAAACCACCAAAAAAAATACTAAAACGTGCAAAAATCGTACTATATCTACTATGTTTTGTATTGTTCGCTTGCCACAATAGTGCCAAGAAAGAGGTAACAAGTTCAATACAAAACTAACATTGATCATTATTTTTTATCAATCAAACCACCAAAAACAAATACTAAAACGTGCAAAAATCGTACTATATCTACATTTAGTGTAAGATTTTAAACTCTTGTCATAAAGAGAAAATGACGTTTTAGATTGTAACCGACACAGCTTGCAGACATATCACACAAGCCTTGTGGTATTTTTGCTCCCACATCCGGTCAAAAAACTGTTCGTCAGTTCGATTTCCTGAAGGATAATTACGAATAGGATGATTGCCAGACTCCTCAGCGTTACATGGCGGTTAATCAAAAATCAAGACTTTTACGTCTTCAGAGTCCTTGCATGTCTTCACTACTAGGGCAGGATCTGTGTTAGATGATTTGAATCCGAAATGTATACCGCGTGATGCCAACACACATACACAGTTAAATATAACGCTTTAAAGGTGGGTTATCACGCGAACATTTTTGTGAAAAATTTGATTCTATATATATTTTTTTAATATTTTTAACGATTACCGCTTGCATAAAGTGGACTTAGTTTTCTACATATGAATTTTTAAAAACCGCTTCAACGAAAATCGATCCACGTTCGGAAACGGCCTTTGATGACGTAGTAGTGAGAACTCATTCCAGAAATTAGCTCCCTCGCCATTGGCGAGTAAGGTGATCAACCTCTGTTTTTGGCGTTTAAATCTAGTTTCTAACCGCGTAGTTTAATAAAGATTGAAACAATAATGTATTGTTAAACATAAATGCTAATGCATAAGAAGTTCTGAATGTGAGGCGATCAAGCCACGGCGTTTTATGTAATGATCGGACCGGTACTGACCGCCCGTCAGAAGGCTTGAAGGACTGATCCTAAAGTAAGTATTTACCACTTTATTTTGTTTATCGACTGTTTGATGAAATATTTAGTCAAAGCATTATGATACCCAGTCTCATTTTTGTATGAACCAAATACAAATTGCCAATTTGTACATTTACCAAAAGAGTGATAGTCTACTACCAGATAAACGTAGAATCCCAATAATGGTTCAGTTTTTTTTTATATTCATTTCACATTATTACGGAACAGAACACTGTTGTATGTTGAACCTTACTAAACTGTCTGGTGATATTATCCTGATCTTTTTCATGTCAGTTCTATCAATTTAAGTTGTATACTTTGTTTTCCAGTGCACACTGCTATTAACAACACAGTCCAGCTGTTATCGATCAACTAATGGAGATTCGTGACAACACATTTATTGGCATGAATAAATTACATATGATGAAAACATGGCATAATATAATGTTAAAAATAAATAAAAACTGATTTGAATTACTGCGTGAGGTATTGTTGTGGGTAGGAGTTTGTACGGTCTTACTACTTACGCGAAACACCGCAAAGAGCGCGAAACAGAGGGAAACAGCGCGAAAGAGCGCAAAACAGAGGGAAACAGTGTGAAGCAGAAAAAATTTTTGCAATGAGTTCGGGGCACCTTGTTTTGAGTTGGAGTACCACGGCAGCAAATTAAAAACACAACCCAACGTATGTAGCCAGTAATGCTGTAATGGCAGGTCTGCCCCTGCTGGTGACACATTTTGGGTACCATAATTTAGAACATTTTCCATATGGATATGGTTGGCTTTAGGGTTAGATCAAAAGGGACCTCCAGAAGTATGTGTACCAAGATGGCGCACAACCTGAAAATAGTATGTATGTGTGTGTTGCGGATTCAGCTTGTGCGACATATTGCTGCACATACTTCTGGAGCACCAAAAAGGTAGATAAAATTTCGCATGATGACCTATAATCCGGTACATAACCTTGTAAATATAGCGGAAATAGCGCCATAAAACCATGGCGAGAGGCGCCGTGGTTCTTTCGTGGCAGGAGGTGGTAATGACTGCGTCTCCTGTTTTCCGCTGTTTCCCTCTGTTTTGCGCTTGTTTCCTTCTGTTTCGCGCTGTTTTCCTCTGTTTTGCGCTGTTTCGCGCTGTTTTGCGCCCTTTGCGGTGTTTCGCGCTGTATTCAGTAAGTAGTAAGACCCAAGTTTGTATGGATTCCAACATAACTTTAAGGCTTAAACGATCCTTCGACTTAGAGGTCTTCTTTTAGTTTCATGGAGAGACATCAGAAAAGGTTACTCGCGAAAATTTTATCCATAGTTTTCTCCTTGTTTCCTGCTTCGAGACAGATCCATCACTGTGAAATCTGCTGTAAGCACCAACTACACATTCCATACGTTACGGTAGTGTTTGCGCATATACCGGTATAGTCTATATATACCGAAAATATAACAAAAAGACTAGTTATAGGATCAGATAAGCAGACTAAACACACATCAAATATAAAATCTAGATCATTTGAGACAAAAAATGGCCTGGTATGCGCTTTTTCACTAGAAATAAATAAATTGCAGTAAAAGGTCCGGCACAGAACTCGAGTACGTCTTGACCTCGATTAGTTGAGTTTACTGTAATTTCGGTGCTCCCGAAGTATGCGAACCAAGATGGCGGACATCGGAACGTAACATGGGTAACAGGTTAGGGTTAGGCGATAATTTTTTTTCCAGTTTTCGTTATTTTAGTCCTATTATCAGTTCGAAGACTAGCCAAGAGCCTCCCGTAGTATTTATACCTAAAATTATGGCCTAACCCTAACCTAGTACACATATTACATTCCGATGTCCGCCATCTTGGTTCGCATACTTCGGGAGCCCCGTAATTTCTCATAATGCAATAGTATTATTTAAATCACAAAGGCTTCCTCCAAATGCACCGCCCAATAGAACTAGCATACGGTTGAAAATAAGTACACAGAATGCTATAATTGCCTTTGACCTAATGCAAAGTTTCGCAGACGAGTTCTCACCATACGTCATCAACGGGACATACTAATTTGCGTTCGATTTCGGCAGGGTCGTCTTTTAAAAATTCGAGTCTCGCAAACGAAGTCCGTTTTATACAAACGGTAAACGCCAAAAATCGTAATAAATTATATAAAAACCAATTTGCGTGTTAACCCACCTTACTTATTTTTTTCTTCTTTTATTTCTTCTTCGCGATCACTTCATTGTGATTTTGGAGATCACACTTTTTTTGTTTTGTTTGCAACCCTTCGCGATATTCACCAATGTTACATATCGCTTTTTGTACTTTGCTGCTCTAAACCAAAGGTTAATCTTTAATTGCAACTATGATATTTCCTAAGCAACTTTACCTCTCTATTTTATATTTTTGATTACTATTATTGAATGTTCATACTTAAAGTGTACCAAATCATGTTATAAAATGTTACATTCTTCATTTTTTTTTATTTCATAAGGCTAATATGCCAATTGCCGAGCTTATATTGCATTCATGATACTTCCTCTGTAAAAATGAGTTCATAAATTTTCACGTATTCGATTATGACTATCGAATGTTCGCATTCAAGTTGTCACAAATCGTGTCATCTTGACTGTATTTTATAAAGTTAATATGCCAAGCTAATAGCTCATTTGATTCATTTCCATCATCCCTTGGTCTGTTGATCATATCACAATAATTCTTCAGTGATCTCCCTGTTCAATCTAATTTGCATGAATGGCCTGGACCAATGAATTGTATAAGTTCTGTGTAATACCACTTCTATTTGAAGCTTATACTCAAAGTGTCCAAACTCATTTTACCCAATGTTATAAAATGTTGCATCTTATTTATTGGACACGTAATGGACATAGCGATCGTTTCAATATTATGTTGTTGTTCTTGTTCTTT